GTGGTTGGTTTTCAGGATAGTTAACATCATCAAAGTTTTTTGAGTAAATATTGGCTGGCAGTTTTATTACTGACATTTTTTTTAGCTGATATTGTGTAGCCAAAATGTCCTTAACGATGTTTTTAATACAAACAAACCTTTTACCCTTAAATGTATGCAAGTCAAATCAGAGATATTATTTAGCTTCATAATACCTTATTACATACTTATTTTTTTAAATGTAATAAAAGTGAAATGAAGTATATTATAATAGAATATAATATATATTAATATTAATATAATAAGAAGACGTTTCAATTTCTATCAGGTCATTTTTAATGTTAGAAACGCTGTCAAACCTTAGTGAGATACACCTGCTGCTATAATAACAATGCCCAGTATACATTCCAAATTATTCCGCCAAGTGACATATCGAATATTTTTTAAATAATCGAAATAAAATTTCAGGTTGAAACATCGACTCTAAAAAAATTACCTGCGTATCCGTGAACCAGGATCACGTTATCCTTGGTGGGCTCGTAATCCCGCCGTAGCCAGTCAGACTGCTCCAAGGGGTCCAGCAGCCGTCGTGGTCGACCCGGTGTATACAGGTATACATGCACGTCCGGATCTGGGCAGACATCACGGTCGTTTCCGCGCCTCCAGGTGCAATCGTACTTATTGTACTCGGCGGCGGCGCCGCTCTCGATCGCATCCCGTATCGGTCCCTCTCTTTTCGCTTCCCGCCATTCGATTATGTGGGTGCAGACCCGCGATGTCAGGAACGACGCTACCAGGACCATCAACGCCACGGACACGCGCATCTCGCCGGGGTTGTCTTCGCTGTTGTCGATGCGAGCCTCACGCCCACGTTTCGGGAACTGAGCAACGCGGTCGTTCCACGATGACTTCGTCGTTGAATTGTCGCCACCCGGGATACCGTTTTGTTTCTTAGTCTCCCTTCCTCGAGAATCTTACCTTCCCCACCTATACTTGAATAATTCGCACTTACCGAACTAGGAACATTATGGAGTAAAGGGAGTATCGAATCGTCTCTTCTCGATCTTTTAAATAAATGTCCTCTTGTTATTCAAGGAAGAGACGATTTCGCTGGAGAACGCGCAAGAGATCTTCGAACTTTTGACCTTATTCCGATGATTAGAAATCATCGTGTTAACTAATTTTCGTACATATAGATTGTAGAAAAGAGCAATCGTTATACGAAAATACATATATTAAGAAGGTTTATAAATATTCATGTGTGGATTTGTGTCTAACGGATATCTACATCAAAAATGTTAAATACACATCTATTTGTTTAAATGTGTAGGGTGTCGTTAATAACGTTTCTTAAGAAATCAATAGAGAAGTTTGATGTTAAAGAAATAATTGAATTTTTAACAGAATGAAGAATCTTGCATATATATTATATATACATTCTTTTATATATTTTTTTTTATTATAAAACGCTTATAGATACATGTAATGTAACATGTATATTTTACGTGTATACACTATATTACAAATATAATTTGCATTTATTATATTATTATTATTTATTGTACATAAGAACTACAGAAGCTGTAAAAAAGAAAGATTACAGAGATATAGTATGTACACAAATCATGAGGCACCAGCAGATTGCTGCTACTAAGCCTCCTAGTAGACATACGAATTAACTTATGCGGCGAAAAATACAGATTACATTTACAAAGATGAAGCGATATACGAAAGCGTACATACAGAGGTACTTATCACAGTACATTTAGTGTTACACAGTCGATATTAATTTTGAAGCGACTGAACAGAACGAAGAAAATGAAAGGGGACGATTGGATGGAAGAGAGTAACATGTTATAGAATTTTGTAGCAGTATAGGAAAATGCAGCTTTGAATTTGGAAGTACAATGTCTAGGGAAGGATGAGGAATCATGATGATATATACACGATATTATAAAAAAAAAAAAAACGGTATATATATCGATAGTTTTTAAACATGTTATCTATCGTGTTTCTTAAAAAATTAATAGATAAATCTAGAGTGTGCTTGTGTGTGTTAAAGAAATTTTACGGTTGAAAACAAAATTGAAAACATACAAAAAATTCTTTTATACATATTTTTTTTATTAAGTCCTACAGTTCATATTTATACTACACGATGTAATGTTATGTATGTTGACTTTCGGATATCTCTTTTTTGTAACAGAGGAGAAAATGTTTGCATAAGATTATTTATATCTATGGAAAGTAGGTTGAAAAATCAGATCATTCTTGTTAAAACTGAAAACTTGACCCTGAAATATTTCGTAAGATTAATCGACGCAGCACCATAAAGAGAGAGGAACAGATCTTATCAGGAAAAAAGGAATGATTCAAATGACATATTACTGCAGCAAATTTTCATAATCTACATGGATTAATATTTAGATACGTGAATCTACATTGTTCAATGAGTTTTAAATTATGAACTTTTATCATGTCTGATTGTGAGAAAGAATTAAAGACTTTATTATGCATAACGTACAAATGACAATGCGATCAAGTTGCGAATAAAAAGTTTGCAAAGAGAAAAGAAAAATACACTCTAAAAACTAGACGAATTCCGTATCTTATTATTCGATGGGAAAATCTAAATTTACTTTGCATAATAAAACGATTTGTAATAATTAAAATGTCGATGTGCAAAGCTTTAGCATTGAGTGAAAGTCTCCGAAAAGTTAAATCCGAATGCATCTCGAATATCCTGTTTTCGAACATGTTTCTCTTCGCCCGAAAGCAGAACAAGGTATTTACATATACACCTTTATTCTTTGATTCCGAGCATGTCCTGCGAGTTCACGCGTATCCATATTTGAATAGATGTGAAAAAATACATTGTCGAGTATGCATCACAGAATTGCACCATACAGAATCATATAGATCTCATTTTCCAATATATTGAGACTTAGCGTCTTTTTGAAAGTAGCAATTTTAAACTTCAACACCCATTTTTTAATTGGTTTTAATTTCGTTTATTTTTGAACAAACTTATAGCTGCTTAAATTTTGAAGTTCGTAGCGCTACGAATTTTTGTTTCAATCTAATAATGTGAAATAAATATGCATGAGATTGAATATTTCCCACAAATATGTCGATTAAATGTACAAAATAAGCATGTAACATAACAAATATTTACTGTACTTAATAAATGATTCAATCATTTCTCACAGTGATGCAATGAGAATGAAATGGAGTAAGACAAATATGTACACATATAATTTATTATATAAAATTCTAAATTACACAGCTCGTTCGCGACAGCTGAAGCAAATTGATTGAGCAACACCGTATGGCGGAAATGTCGAAGATGAGAGTCTTCGCTGTTGATATCGACGAAAAATATATTTTAACTCATGTCACGTTCTCCCCGCTACGGAGTTAATTCGATACATCAAGTGCACAACGGTAAGTGACAACGGTATTATTTCACGTCCGTTTGAGGCCTCATAGAAATGACTGCTTTACATATATATATACGTTTTTTTTTTTAGAACCAACTTAAACGCTTCGTACATATGTTTCCTTTTTAAGCATAGAGAAACTTATTACAGGTTCAATTATTAAAATATGTGTGATTATCGATAACACAATTAAACATCCATATTAAAAAATTATTTAATAAATAATAATCTTCTAATTTTCTAACGTTATGTTAATGTACATGATAATGTATGTACATTATCATGATAATATTCAGTTAGAAGGGATTAACTTCATACTATTAGAATGTAATATAAAATGTTAATTTTAACTAGATGTATAGTGAATTTTCTGAGACATACTATTACTTAGAATTAAAATTAATATTTTTTGTACAAAAAAATGTTAATTTTAATATGTTCTAATATTCACTAAGCAATCAATTTTCCAAAACAGATCCATTCTGGAATGGACTACATACAGCTACATACGCGCGTCATTGAAAAAAACCACTTTCAAAATTAGTACCTTACATATAACTTACAAACAAAAGAGAGAGAGAAAGAAAAAGAGAACATACTTTCTCGTTTGTTCAATAACTGTATCGAGATTCACGTTGTAATTCCATGAAAAGTGAAAGTTATTTATTAAGTCGAATCAAATAGTTTAACGTGCGTATTACATTAAATCGAAGAAATCCTCATAATTTCTTACAACAAAAATTATTTTACCTACTCTATAAATTAGTTATAAGAAACAGAGTATTTACGAAAAATATAAATAATAATACAAAGAATACTACACAGAATAGTGAACAAAAATTCTAAGATGTTCTTCGAGTGTCTTATTTTTTTTTTTAAGTAAAACTATCAAAATTTCTTGAAATAAAAGATCTATCGGTTGAAAATCAAAGATCTATCAACAAACTATCAGGATTGCATATAGGTAAAAACCTTTATTTTCTTTTTCTAAACGTTATTCTAGTTTTATCTAAGACAATATATTTCAAAAAACTTTAATATCTGGAGTCTCAAAATATTTAACATTGATAGAAAATAATAATGTCATATAAAGGTTCTCTTTTAAAAAAATTTAATTTTGAATTTTTGCATTTTATGTATAATATTATAGATATATTACATAGTGTTTTTGATTGTAGGGTTTTGATTCGATTCAGGTTGGTTCAATGATGCTTTACTATTAGTAGAGCATGTAGTATATAACATCATCAATAGCAAAGCATTAATCCAACCTAAGACGGATCGAAATCTGCTGCAGCTGAAAACACTAATAGAATCGTTTATTTCGTATGTGCTACAATTGATAAAATTATATTATCGTTGTTAAATTTGTCAGAAGAAATATATGTATATGCAGTCATATAATGCATCTTGGTGTATTATTTTAAAAAAATATGTCATTATCTATATAATTTTTTGATGCGCGCAAAAAGATATGAAGTAAGCGGTCGTGTTATTACAGATACGGCGATGACATATGTGTACCGCCGAAAATTACTGCTGTAATGTTTACGCAACGCGAAACGCAACGATCAGATCCGCTGTTTGAGGTGAAAGTTTTGAAGCCTCATAGATGTCCGATTTAGCATAAGGAGAAAGTCTCGTCAATTGAATTTGAATCTTGGAACAAATTAGCAAAGAATCGTCAAAGTTAGGCGTGAAAGATATAGTTATGTTTGCGTTAAGAGATTGCTTCTAAAGAAATATTTGTGCGTATCATTCCTTTACGATTAACAAGAACTTAACGTGATGATGAAAGTCGCGATGTGAACACGTATAATTTTCCATTATCGGTAAATGCAAAATACCATCGTAATGTGTACGAAATGCTTCGTACAGAATAAAATTTATGCAATAATAAACTACATTTTTTGTGACGTGATTAAAACGACTAATCTCGATAAATGTAAATAATTTATTCCCAGACTGAATTTTATTAATAATTTGGTTAAACAAGAACAATACGGAGAAATAACATTTATTGATTAATATAAATGCCCATACAATACTTATTGATAAATTAGCTATAATATACTAGAGAAGGATGATAGAGTTACGTACATTATATCAGTTGCAAGTAAATGTGCTTTATTTCGACAGATAGATCACAATAAAGATTCTTGGAAACACACAGCTCTAAAATATTAACAGACATATTTAATTGAGTGCACGCGCGTACGTCGAGAATAATAGCAACTTATAAATATATTTGGCAATTTCACTGTCCAAGTATGAGGAAGTACGAAACTATATAAAAATCAGTCAGTTTACAAAAATCCGGCAGCTCGTAGTCACGTATAGGAATCAGAAAAACTCAATACTATTGTACAACAAAAACTTAGTATATATTATAATTTGATTCAGCTAAAAACTTATTATATATTATAATTTGATTCAGTTTTATTTTTTCCTGGATTTTTTAAATGATTGTCAAGTATTGAAAAGTCGAAAGAATCATCGAAAAGTCGAAAGAGACATCGATATAAACGCACGATGGATTAAACGAAAATTTACATATTTGCAAATAATTGTTACTTACACAATAATGTTAGCTTCCACAGATATGATAGGCACAATCCTACGGGGATCCAAAAATTCTACATAGAACAGCTATATACAGGAAAAAATAAACATCTGCGAGTATAATGCATTCCAGATGAAATGCTAAATTTGTACACATATTTATTTAACAGCTAGGTTCTGTAGTCTGGAGTCGACAGCGTTGCTGATCTGTTCTTTATCTACATCCATGAGCTTTCCTTTTCAGTTGTTTGCCGAGGATTGACCCAATCTAGCACACGCTTTTTTGTGCATGAACCAATGTAATCTCTGACATTCTCTGTCACAATATTGCACCGCTTTGCATTTGCTACACTTTTTGGTAGCCTTGTCCTCACCGCAGGTCACGCAAGTATGGACGCCATCAAAGAATCCTCGTTGTCCATTAATTGCAGCTGAGATTACAGAAACGGTGGACGGTGGATCTGTGCTTGCCAATGTAGCAACTATCTGACGGAAAATTGTGCTTTCTCTGAATGGAAATTCTCTTACAGAATCCTTCAAAAATGCTTCTTGATATTCCGGTAAGCTGTCGGTTTTGTTGCACTTCAAGAATCTTCGTATCAGAAATTCTACAGTGTCGGGCTTTTTTTCGTTACTCCTGTTGCACCACTTCTCAACTTTCTCTGCCTTCATCGCTTCCTGGCGTTTCTGACATTTTAATACCTCGGCAACAACACAACTGAGATAATGGTACTTAAAGGCCATTATTTCGTTTATTTCAACACCTCGAGTCATTTCTCTATTACGCATGGATTCTAATACTTTTTGTATCTAAAAAAGAAAGATAGTAAAATGAGTAAATATTGAATATCAGTAAATTTGTTTCTTCACATAAAACCAAGAAACATATACTTGATGTATAAAATATATATTTCTTGATATTTTGATACATCAAAATGTATTTGATATATTCTGATGTATCAAATAAATAATACATTAATTACATTCAAATATCAATTTGTCCTATATATTGTCTTACTTTTGCTGCATTTTCTAGAAGTGCGGGAAGTTTTTGTAAATTCATGCACACACGTACAGGATTCACATTAATCTGTATTATAAATTTATGAAAATAATCTGCTAGATATGGTGGTAGCATGGGTTCAGTCTGCAAACCCTGCGGCTTAATGTAATAATCTATATCAGCTTTTGGGATAAAATTATTAATAGTCGCCACACAGTTATGATTTCCCACAAACGCTGCCATTTGTGCAGCTGTCCTGCCTACGCTGTTCTGTGCTGTCAAGCATGCTCCATATGACATCAAGAGATGACATAATTCAGCATTTCCGCTTAAAGCAGCAAAATGAAGAGCAGTATATGCGTGTTCGTGTAGACACGCATTTACGTCAGCATCCTAGAACGATTAAACAATCCTCATATATATTACAAATTAATTATGTATTATGTATGTTGTTATCAATGTAAATTAACTATATTACTCTTCAACTTATTCTTTATCATTTGTTTATTCTTAGAGCTAGACAAGGATAAAGAGTAAATTAAATTGAAATTAAAGTTAATTTACAGAAATGAGCATTAGATGTTATTCAATAAATATAATTAAAATATTAATAATTTCATAGAGATGTAAATTCATCATGAGAAGATCGTGTAAACGTCATTTAGACAATTTATTTAAGTATACAACAGGCTAATCACGAGATACAACTCTGTAGACACAAAATATTAATGATAGTCAACATAACCTACATGATCGAGGAGTAGCTGCACAATTTCCTTATTTCCCTTATAGCAGGCGTGTTGGAGCGGGTTCATACCATTCTCATCGATAAAATCCATTTTGATCTTCTCCTGTGCCAACAATGTCTTGAGCTCGGACACCTCATTCTTACTGATTCTCTGGAAAATTTCCTGCTCGAATTTCGAGAGATCTTCCATAGCAGACACCATATTGTTGTGTGCAGTTGTGTGTCACTCACAGACACAGAGTGACGCAAACAGAACAGAGAGCATTCTCGAAAAGGTCTGATCTTTATTTCTACACTACCTCACTTCAACTTATTGCACGTTGTGCAACAATATAGGTAGTACAGAAATAAAGAACAGACCTAATATATATATGTATCACCAGAGAGACTGGTATCACTCAATCCGGAAATATCCCGAAAACTGTAGAAATTTTTTAATAAACGCTTTTTTATCAAATTTGACGCAACTTCATGATTTTAAAAACGTTATTCACATAAATTTTTAATTAAAATTTTAATAAGGAATTATATTCAAATAAATTAATTTTAGCGGCTGTAGACTTCTTCTTCTATGTTTAGTTGACTCTGGTTCTCGCAAACGAGGTAAACACATAGCCAATCATATCCTAGACGTTTCCAGTTGAACAAAGTCGAAAAATAATGATGCAATGCCCATGAAAATGGCGTAACCTGCTCGGACACCGGGCGCCTGGCGCCTGCGCAAGGACGCGTGCCAGGACGAACGAACGGGTCGTCCGAATTCGCGGAACAATCGAAAGGGAATACATCGCACAGTCAAAGTCGGCGAGACTTACAAAAATATACGATTAGCAACTGTAAAACAACCATGAAATTAGCCAAAGTAGAGAGAAACCTGAAAGAGGCCACGTCGGCCTTCTTCCTATATTCGATAATTTGCAAGATTAATGTCAATATGATTGCGTTGAGTCCATTTTCCGATGCCGTATATAATAGACTTGAGCGTCCTATTTATTTAAATTAATTTTTAGATTTATTATCAAAACCGTTCTTATATATAGTGCACGCTACTGTATTTGAAACTGTGCTCGTACAAAAATAAAATTAAGAAGAAAATAGAAATTAAAATTTCTTAATGTTTATGCAACAGAAATAATGTTAATAGATATAAAACGAAGACTTATAAAAAATCGTTGTAGTGCCAAAAAATGATTATTTATTTCAAATAAATTGAAAAATAATAAAATTTTTAAATAAAAAAAAACCCAAATTTAATTTCTTCTGAAGATTTTATAAGTATGATATGGAAAATAACAAAAAAATATGTATATTAATTAAAAAACAAAGCAAGATTAGAAGAGCACGTAAGAGTCAGTTAAGTATTTCAAATATGTGAGATAGTCAAAAAATAAAATAAAATATATTAATAGAAAGGCGCAATATAAAACAATTATTTATCAATTTATTTATTTATTAGATATATTTATTAATTATATTAGGTATGAATATATCTTCTTTAACTCTTCAAAACTCGAAGTATCGATTATTCTTCTATCACGCAAGCAATTAAAATTGAAAGGACAGTTTTAAAACATTAACAAAAATTATTAAAAAGCAATGCCAACAGCAGTTTTTGTTAATTAACAACAAACCACGAGATAATTTCAATTACGCTTAATATGCGGCGTAACAAGTCCCGCGATTACACCATAGAGCGATTCTTTCTGCCTCTTCTGTGAAAATTGAGTAAACCTGGCGTAGGCGGTTTAAATTCATTCGTCACACTTTTCAGCGGAAACGCGTTTATTGTAACGAGCAAAGATAAGAAACGCTAATAAAACGAAGACTCGTTGTGTAGCTTGCAGCGCAATGAGTAAAAAAGTTTAAAAAGAATTAATAAAAATTCAATTTTTTTCAAGCGCTATCTATGATTTTTGGAATATAATACAATTATATTTAATTTATAGATACATTTTTTTTGCTTTGATTTAAGGAATTAATATAAATCCAATTTTCAATAGCTACGAATAATCCTTGAAATATAAGCTTAATTTCGAAATGATTGCTAAAGACTTAATTTTTATTTACTGTAAGTAATCATAGAAATATAAATTTAATTTGAAGTTTATAAATTTTTTTGCTTTTATTTAAGAAATATTGATAGAAGCTCAGTTTTTTTAGTATTTGAGATATATGTATGTATATATGTATATAAGCTTATATACATATATAATTAAAAAATTATTTTTAACTAAAATTTTTCACTAAAATTAACATTTATGTTATGTTAAATGAGTAATATATTTTATTCATTCATTTTTCTTATAATTATAATTTACATCTTAAACATTATGTTTATTTGTTCATTTATTAACAAATTGTTATTTTAAAATTAAAAAGTATTGAATTTCACAAACTGCTTAAATAACATAATAATTATATTACGTTAAATTAACATTTAAACATGTTAAAAAATTCAACACAAAATATTAACAGAGCCTTGAATGGATCATTTCCAATATAAATACGAAATGTTTTTTTCGTACTAGGGTGCGTAAAATGCGATTTTACACCCCGGAGAATTGTAAATAAATAACACCCAATTACTCCTCACTCAGCAAAACAATCCATGAACCTCATTCCCCACCTTCACAGCTCCCTAGTACGAAAAATTTTGTTTGCGACTCGGGAGTAAGGTTTTCACACCCGCGTGTGTTCGACCGTACACTCGGGCTGGCTTCGCCAGCCCTCGTGCCGTCGAACACCCTCCGGGTGTAAAAACCACTTTTACTCCCTAGTCACAAAAATAACTATTTTTATAGTTTACTTGTTTTTCGCAAGGAATCGTAATGGTATAAATGAGCTGAGCTGTTCCTTTAGAGAACAAAATTTTATTCGACAAAATTATCCTTACATGCGTAACGCTACGTCGCGCTGCGGGTCAACGCTAATCGGGATCGTACTCCAAAGCCGCGGCTGTAACAGTCTTCAACAGGATGCGACACGTAGTGCGGCGGGAAACGGAACGCACGTGTTCAAGATCAATTTTGCACCGCTCGATTTTCGAAACAATGCGTGATTTTATTTTTCGGCAACTTACAGTCGAGTAGAAGTATTCTGCAAAGAAGACACACACATCACTATAGGTGAGACCTCGTCAGGACATCGCGATTTTCTCCTTCGAACTAAATACTTCTTTCTCTCCACTTCTTCCATACATCGTTTCGTCATTACTGGCCGAAATCTTCACACATCCCCGTGATAAACATAGATTTGTAATATTATGATTAACTAATGTACTATTTTTTATTAAATAATGCCCTAGAGATTCAGTCATGGCTGTTGTCTTTGTGAACGAACGGAGTCACTATTATCTCGGCACCGCGTTGTCAATGCGGTATCGACAATATAATGACTGCGTGTCGTCCACATAATATAATCTCACATAATAAATCTAAAGGAAAAAATATCTCACATTTATTACCTATACAAATAATAACGAAACTATTGAAAGTAACAACAATGTTAATACAGCGGTTAATACAGTGTCGGTTGACAAATCATCGGTGCGCTAATTAGAGAAGCGTGTAACGTTAGAAAATACGGTACGATATAATCCAAAGCGGTGCAAAACTTTCCTGTGTGCGGTTATAAGCCTCGGCGAAGGCCCGGCCAATATGGCTCTTGGGCGGGCACGCTCGCCCCGACTTGAGGGGGTTGCAGGTAGGGAAAAAAAAACGGTTTACAGTTGACAGGGTTATAACCGACGATTTTTTCTTCTTTCGCAAGTTCGCTAGTTTCTTCGTTTCGGAGGCAAAGTCATTTAAATCGTTCAATCGAGTTAACAAGGCCCGAGCTGCTACCTATGGCTGCGGTGGCAACTCGGATGCGATGTGTATAAAATATATATATATATATATGTATACTTTTAAATATGTATTATATACATACACATGTGAGTTTATAGATACGTATACATCTCTGTATCTAACAACGACTGCTAAATAAACTATATGTATTGTATATGTGTGCGACGACGCGACCCTGCGTGCCTGGGATGAAGGTAAGAGATGAGGGATGAGAAACGCAGGTCGCGACGATCGCTTCGCGATTCTAACGACTTTCTATCACGACGATTTCGAGATGCTTAATTCCTATACCCGGCCATTTATCATTGGCCAGTTCACGCAGCTACAATGCGATACACGTATTTATTGTACCTACAAGTGTGGAATCCTTCGCCAGATTCCGATTACCTCTTCGACGAAACAAAGCCGTAGCGTAGCAGGGGTATGCGACGCAGAGGTCTTTGGACATTCATAGGATACGCAAATTTGTGCTATTGTACCTGTTGGGATTTGTTGCTATATAAAAAATAGTTTTTATCAAGAAGCAAATCGATAAATTATGCAAACTTATTTGATCGATACGCTAATTTAAAATAAAAAAGTAAACAGAAAAAAAATTTAGCAAACTAAGAAAAATTGATAAAAATTACATAAAATTAGTTTACTAAATCAAATTAGCTTAGTAAATAGTAAACTGGGAAAAATCGCGAATATATGATTGATCTTTTGGATAAACTGTATGTGAAGTTGTACTACAGAGCTGATTAGAAAATTTGATTGAAAAACGCAAAAGTTCTTTCAATGAAACAAATGTAAATCAAAACAAGATAGATAGCGTTTCTGCTGAATAGTGGCAAGGTAATCGAGACATAGAAAAAAATAACTATAGTAGCATTTAATAGTTACAAAAGGTTTAAAAGGAAAGCACTGTAGTGACGTATAAAAGTAGCCAAAGGATTAAAACGCATATAGATATTACGGAAAGAAAAGATATTATTGAAAAAATTTTCTAGTTTTAAAAATAAACAAACAAAAAATTCATATCAATTAGAATTCTGATTATCTCAACTGGAATTATAACAGATTTTACTAGAAAACTCTTATTTGTCCATTTTCAAGAGTTACCATTTTTCTGAATTTCAATTAATGCAACTAGACTCTTTTTTCCAATGTACAAATACACAATTACAACAATCATTTTTTAATTATTTAAAATATTAAAGCAATTTTCTAAAAAATAGTCTCTCAGAAAGTTACTTGCAAATGCTTATCTCTGAATTTACGTATCTATAAGAACCCCCGTCAAATACCTACAATATGTCGATCAATTCTACTGGCCCTGACTAATACTAGATAAATGACGAACGATTCTATCGCAATGAAGGCGTTGCATTGAAGGGGAAATCACGCGATGTGTGCGATATTTTGCGATTATGAGAATTAGGAAACGATTTATCGTCCTCGTTATCGCACAATAATGTGTAAGTGGAAGTAGATAGACAAATAGAGTTACGAGCCGGCACACGTTAGTTAGAATTTGAATACTCGTTACGTATTATGATCTTAAACTACTGGAGATTGCGACTGATTCTCATATCGCTGATGTTCCACTACGAAGTTCACACGACGCGTTTATTCGCGAATCGACCCGTATTCGTGGCATATATTTAATGTTTTGCGATCATATATATACTCGTATATATATATCTCATAATCTAAATAAAAACAAAATATTTAACACTAATTTATCGGAATTATTTTTAACTGCAAAGAGGGTTAAACACGTATAATATAATGTTATAGCTGTTTAACTCTCAAATACAATACATTTCTACGTTCGATATTTAAAACTGAAAATCACGTAATATCTAACATCGTGTATATATATAAAAAAAGATATAAAAATATCATAAATTGTTTATGACGGAATTGATAAATATTGTTCGTCCACGTAGTAATATAAAAAAATTCGATTTTAATAAAAAATTCATGATAAAATCTGTGTTAAAATCTTGTATTATTCAACGAATAAACAGGTCGTGCGGAACCGTTTAACAGATAATGTAAAATAATGTATTATTTAGATGAATTAAACTCGTGGTTTTCTCAATTTCCTAGAGAATTTTCATTAAAAAAGCCGCATATTGTACATTACCGAATCTTTAATAGATATATGTATATGGAAATAATCAATGACTAGATTAGCGCGCGTAAACCCAGTAATCGAAAATTGTATCTATATAAAAGATGCATTACTTCATGCTACGATGGTGTTCGACACAGGATTGAGCAGGCTATCGATGAAGCGTATTCACACCGGCTATAAGACCTAATAAATTGCTTAACGTTTTACCGGTGATTATAATTTGCGTATAGTCCACACAGCATTTGTCATCCCAGGCTTATAAAAGCCCGGAAGACTGGTCAAACGGAAATGTAATTTATCTAATTTATTTTCTAAAATACCGACGCCGATTAACCGTGATTAACTAACAATTCGCTTTCACTTTTTTATGCCGGACAACAACGTGGTCCAGCAAGAGAATCGTTAATCACAATCAATTAATCGGAATCGCGTAATCATTTTCTACAAGATATCTTAACATCTTATAATCTCTGTTTATAACATCTTCATAATATGAAGTGAACATTTTACGATTGCTCGCATAACATAACTCGCTTCGGAATGAAATAAACAATATTATTAAACAACAAAGTTCGTTTCGAACGCGATACCGCGCGAAAAACGACTCGGGGAATCTTTTACGCAGGAAAAGGAGTTTTACTATAAAGATAACGATTCTCAGTTAGTTGCCTCAAAGCGGGTCCATTAGTTGCCACGCTCCAGAAAAATACCGAGTTGACTTTTTACGAAGGTTGAGACTACGCTAAATTAGATATTTTGCGCGTAAATGATTCTCCTAGGTTTAAAGCTGTCATCCAAAGTAGGTAAGATCTGGTAAGATCGTAGTAGCTCTTATTTGTGACAAGGCTGGTTTGCGAACAAACATTGTCCGTTAGAAGAAGCGTGAATATCAAGTGCTTGTTCGCCAAGGCGTTTCATCAATCTCATGCGATTCGTCGTGTGCTTCAATGACGTGCGTTATTATATTTACAGGATAGGGATTATCGTTAAGAGGTCCGGTTAAATCCATCCGAGGGAAAGCATGGCTGACGGCGTTATGTCGATATTTATCCCGACAGTACCCATTCTCTTTCCTAAGTTTTTTTTTTTGCAATCATCCGTATTTTTACGACAAAGGGAACAAAGTGGAATCCAATGTGCGAACGTTTCGAATCGTGAATTCTAGACCGCGATCTAAGAAAGAAAACCACGCCGTCAATCAAGCCATTACCCTCAAGATTCAAATGCAGCTCGAGTGCCGTATATTGCTCCGTGATAAAAGAGACTAATCCTTGTTTTGTTTGATCGGTGGATTATTTGTTACTTGTCGTTGTGAGACCTTGCTCGGCGATCGTGCTCTAGCAGAGATATACTTGGAACCGGGCACCGTGCAAAATCACAACCGCACTGTCCTAGACTGGCTCAGGGGGCGGATCGTTCCCTTTGACACCTTCTCTAGATTGAATCATTACCTCCGTCTGTTCCTTAGTTAACTCGTGATTCTTGGTAATTTCGAAATCTTGCTCGGCTAGGAAACTTCGACGAATCGCACCGTTCGCCACCGAAGACAAATCGTTCCTCTGATGCTGGGTATCTCGCCAAGGTGTCGTTAGGATCTTCAACCTCTATGCGTTGAAATTTGACGCGTATATCACGTTATTTTTCTCAGAAAGTCGATCATTACAAATATAATTTAAAGATTTAAATTAAAATTAATTTATCAATCAAAGTCTTAATTAACTATATATTTTCAATAAAATTATTTTTGATTAGATAAATTTAAATATAATAACCGTATTATAAAATACTTACTTGAACAAAGGATCCGGGTGTGCTGCTGATTTTGTAGATTGCCATACCTGGGATCATGATGATAGAAGAGCATGCGATCACCCAACCTAATATATTTGCCCAAACTGGATAAGTGTAGTCCTCGTATGATAATGGTTCGTAGCCCATTAAACCATAAACGATAATAAACTATAAACAAATAGAGGACAAACGTATGAATAACAAATACAATAACACTTTTATTATTAGGATGTTAAATTAATTCAGTGTGTTCGTTTATCACGCAAAAAGATCCAAATTTAACTAAAACAAAATTAGAAGAAGATCGAGAACAATTGTTCCAATATTTGTTATAATTATTTTATTATTACCTTTGTCATATAAAAAATAAAAATTATATTTGTTAAATATATTTAACAATAAAAATGGTTAGAAATGTAAATTCTTTGTTAAATAATACTGATACTTTATGAGCAATCTTATATCATTTTTTAATACGGCTATAATGTGACGTACCATAAGGAAAAGTGGTGCTACAAATTTCCAGCATACTCGCCAATAGATACCAGGTCTGAATCCGATCATGTCTTTGATATCGGCGCAAAATCGGTCCGTTCCATAGATCCAACTGACCGCAATTGTTTCTGCCAAAACAGCAAACAGCATCGAGTATCCAGCTGCATATCGATCCAATAAATGGAAAAAGTAAAACCCGCCCTATATTAAAAAGCAATAACCTTCTGTTTATAATGTGAGGAACACGCATTAGAAATTAAATATCGTCACATAATACATAAATCTAACGTAATTTATTATATAATAATAAAAAAGTGTAAAATATCTTTATAATTCAAGACTTCAGGAAATATAAAAAAATCATCTAAGAGAAATCTCAAAGATTAAAACTTAGTAAAAGTTCTTTTAAGATACATGCTTTTTACACTTGTTTTTTATGATATCTGAAGTTTTTATTGGATTACAAATAAATCCGACTAGTGTTTATCGTATTCACAATTTCAGCAATTACATTAATTATAATATCTACCTGTGAGCAAGAAGCGAGCCCGACCAGAAAGTATAAAGTGAATAAGCACGCCACAAAGACCTCACGATTATTGCCGATTATTGGAAACTCATCGCTGAGTGCCGTTATAATTGCTTCTGAACCTCCGAACTATAAAATCACATTAATTTCGATCTTAATTATTCGTTAACGAGAAGTTCTATCGCTTAATGTAAAGATATTTTCAACATATTATATTTATGAAATGGTAACTTGTATTTAAAAAATTGAAAAAAATATTAATAAAGTACAAAATGTAAAAAAAACTATTATTATTGTTAAAGTAATTTATGTACAAGAGAAAGAGGGAAAGAGAGAGAGAGAAGTTGATTTTAAAATAAAAACACACCGAGCTGTCTAAACCGAGTGTAAGCAGCATCATGAAGAAAATGAGCGCCCAGAATGTCGAACCAGGCATCGTAGCGATAGCCGCCGGATAGACAATGAAGACCAGACCGGGTCCTTCTGTGGCAACATCCTGGATAGATTTGCCGCTGGCACGTGCCATGTAACCGAGCACCGAGAATATGACAAACCCAGCGACAAAAGACGTTGCACTGTTGATCAAACTCGTCAGCAACGCATCTCTGCGCGGAGAACACGAAGAGTGTCAGAAAGGAATCGTGTGGGATGTGCGTAAAAAAGTTCCGGCATTCTTACTTGTAAACGTTGTTGTGATACTTGTTGTAGCTCGCGTAGGCCAACAATACCCCGAATCCCGGTCCTAGAGAGAAGAATACTTGCGTCGCTGCGTCCACCCACACCTAGAAAAAAGGCGGAAAGAATATCCTCATGAAAAATTTTATGAAGATTTTAATAATCTGGATAATATATTAACTGGATAATATATTAAAATATTTATAAAATAAGCGTTAAATTAGTAAATTGTTAAGTAATTTAATTAGTGATATTACTAATATTACTATGTATTGCAGTTCAATTAATTTGCGTTTCAAGAGAAAAAATTGTTCAATGCGCAGTTTAAAGGACTACATAAGTACAGTATACATATAAATTCACACGGAATTATATAAGCTCCTAAGATCCAGCTAGACCGTTAAAGGCTTTATTTCTCATTGGTTGTGTTTCATTATTTCGATACTCACTGTAAGCTGTTAATAATTTTCATCAAATCATTTTCGTTGTGATAAATATATTAAATCACATATTTACTATAACGAGCGCTACATGGGCATGTAAAAGGAGCAAATTCCAAAAATGTAGAAAAAACTTTGTGTATGGTACGCTCGTATTTAAAAAGAATCGAATTACCCGCAGAAGAGAACACGAAGGAAAAAGGGGGAGCATCAGCCAATACATCAGCCTGATTCTTCTCGTATATCCACGGATTAGTGATGATCAACAAATCCACTTTCTCACTGATATAAAACCCACTTTAGCAACGATGGTAAGCGGCTAAAGTCACCGTCGTCGTTGCCCGTGGAATGCATTCCGCACGCCAAGCACGAGGGTCGGCGTGCGTTCTAACGTTCTAGCGCGTGCTCCACCGGACTCTAAATGTTCATTATGACAGCTACACAGAGTTTCCATTTTCACCGTCGTCAGTTAACCCTGCACGTTCCTCTTACTCCATTTTTCCCATACCTCGGCCGCCACCGTACCCAACCCCTGCCCCGCTCGTTTCCGCTCTCGAACCCATTCGCGATCCTATAAATGCATTAGCTCCCAAAGTTTTCTCCTTTTGTCACTACCGCGAGAATACGTCGCGGCTCATGTAATCCAGGTCAACGGCAATAAAACAATAATTACGAGCGCGACCGATACTTTTCTTTTATATAGTTTTTTATTAAAAAATAAATTTTTTATTGTGAACGAAAAATTTTTCAATACTTCGCAGAAGAATAATGCTTTCTTTATTATAATGTACGCTTAAATAATTAATATTGTATTTTATGTATTTCATTTTTTTATCTTTAATCACACGAGATCTAGTTGTGTAATTAGAGGACATTATAAATTACTTTTTCAATCATTATTAAGTAGCAACTATTAATTTTATATTGATCAATTGTGATTATTAACTTTATTTAAGTTTATTCATTATAAATTCTTTAAATTTTGACAAAATATATTCATATATTATACAGACAAGAAATTAAACAAATAAGATATGTTCTTTGTCATTGCACCGAACTGCAATAAAATTTTTTTTATCGATTTCACCAAACTTCAATTATGTACTATTTCATTTTAAGTATAACTAGTGTATTTTAGTTTAGCTATCAAGAACAGACTATAATAAATTAAATAAAAATTTGCTTAAAAAATCATGCTAAATATTTCCAATACTACGTACACATGCGGTGCCAGAATGTTACGTACATACCTCTGCCTTTGTGATAACGTTGAAATTTGGACTGAGATAATAACGAATTCCCTCGGCACTGCCCGGCAAAGTGACACCTCTTATTAATAAAATTAACAGGACTGCATAAGGGAAAAGAGCGGTAAACCAGACTACCTGTAATATAAAAGAATCGCCCGGTCTGTAATTGCATCCTCATGATCGGAAATACTATACATATATATACAAATATCGTAGATAGCACTTGATAAAGCTCTGAGTTTTACGGTCCTTTATTTTAGATTTTTGCAAAAATATGCCTTGTAGAAATTCACTTGTCCGCCTTTAGTGGCGTGTTCAGATACTCGAGTGCTCCCCGAGTGTCATATTATCCTTATTTATAACGTTCGGTAAACAATAAAGATAGTGATATCTGGATGGCACTCGGATGGGAATCTGAACATAGTCTAAGATCTTGAATCTCTGATGAGGCATTCAACTTACCTTGCCGGAAGTCGAGATGCCCTTCCATAGAGAAAAGTAGCAGACCAGATAAACCACGAGCAAGCATAGCGCGATGTCCCACTTAATGGCACCAAGATCGTGTAAGCCCTCACTTTGATGTAGTTCCAGAATAGCGCGACTTAAGGAAAAGAAATTTTGTGTAATTCAAGAAGATGTATCTGAATAAATGACTTGCGTAAAAAAAATATTTATATTCAGTATTAATAACACGTTAACGTTTAATAATTGCAACGTAAGACAAAAATTCAAAGTATATAAAAATGTATTTTTAACTTGATATTTAAGAAAATTGTTTTCATAATACAATTGTATTATAATTGTTTTATTACATTATAGTTTTATTAAAATAAATTCAAATTATTGATATAAAACGTCAAAGACAATTTTATTTTCGTAAACAGAATGTCAAACGTTACTCACTTGAAGTATTCATGCGCAGCACTCGTATAATTATCCCCTGTACTCTGAACAGCAGCATCCGATCCTAAATCGACCAGGAGCCGAGTGGTATTTCCAAAATTCTCATTAATCTCGCTGGTCACATCCGCGAGTGTGTACGATATATTTGCGTCGAATTCGCGACACAGTGGTGTGTTCCAGTCATTGTCACAGGAGGTCCACGGCAGCATCGTGGCGAACGAAGCGAAGAAATAGCGAAGTGACCAGGCGATGATGACGTTATAGTAAAAATCAACGTAAAACGCGATTAGGACCACCGCGTATCCGATACCTGATCAAGAACAATATATATTTTCAGACCGAATGATCGCACGGTGATAAAGCTATTTTCTTGAAAAAAGCAATTTAGTTTCTATTTCTTCTGTATCTAATGTATTTCTAATAATTTCTTCTATTTCCAATATATTTCTAATAATTAATGCGAACATTTTTTATAATTTTGTACTAAAACCAATTTAAATAACAAACTTATTAATCCATTATAGATTATTGCTAATCTTATTTCTGCTTAAAAGATATAATAATTATATGAACATCATATAAAATACAATATATGGAAGTTTCAAAATTTTTGTCCGCAAAATACAAGACTTTATGTAAAAAAAAGAAATAACTTTTCCTTCTGCAAAAATGCGTTTGACAAGTAATTTTTGCAGGAGAACAGGTGGAAGTTAACAAATATAAGCGCAAAGTTTATTTATAGGACACAATTTTGTTAAAGGACAAAGTTGTTTGTTTTAGCATAAATTTTTGTACTTTGTGGGCGCGAATTTTGAAATATCCTGTATGTAACAGAGTTTTTATTGTAAAAATTTTACTATTCGAAGATTCTTTAATCTTTTTAAACCATTATTTGTTGCCTCCTCACTATCAATTCGTGTATGTGTTGGACGAACCTCATGTCAGTGTGACGTGATCTCTGTAATTTGTGAAGTATGTAATGATTACCAAACAAATTAGCACGATAATCATATAAGCGCAAAAGAAATCAGGACTAGTGCGATAGAAACATTAGAAACACACCGTCTTTCTTGTGACAATGTTATTTTTTACACATACTATATCCAATACAAATGACATCGTGACCTTCTCTACTGTGGTATGCAAGATCGCGCATACGCTACAATACGTATTATATATACTAGATACGTTTATCGCACGATGCAGAAATGGAGGATCTCGATCGAACATACGACGATCAGCGGTCGGAGTGAAATTGTGACTGTGGAAATGAAGTTGGAAATCGGCGGAAATGGAGGCTCTTTACGCGGAGAAGTACCGGTCGCGTTTTCTCGCATCCTACTGCGATTCTCTCGGATATATACGTGTCGCATAAAATACCTTACCGCGGCTACGTATTTTACGAGATAGATCTATGGAGACAAGGAATAGATAGATATTATATATACACACATATACAAAATAATAAATTTATATACGATATATATTTATAATCTTATACATATACATATATGTGCATTGTACATATGTATGATTTCATAAACATATCGCTCCTTTACTTCAAAAAAATTAAGTTTCTCAGAAAAGGGAGAAATATTGTACAATTTGATAGAAAATAATTAACTAATCAAATAATATCGGTAAAAAGAATATATATCTTAACAAGATCAAATGTCATTTTTGTTATTTTTATTTCACAAAACTTGAAAAAATTAATTGTTTCGGGTTATAATGATTTTGACGGTTCCTTTTTAAAACTTACGTTATTATTTTTAAAAGCACTATATTTTGACAATTTTTATAAAATTAAATTTTTATTTTTGATAGAGTAACTTACCTGACTGATTTATGATAATAACTCAAAAATTATAATACATTTTTTTAGTTGGATCACTTTTAAAGTAAGGATGCCATATGTTTGTCATGTAATATGTATTGTACATGTACTACATATATATATATACATATATATAATAACATTATCCCGTTCCACCTTCAAATTCGTGTGTGCCAAAATCGGACGATTATCCTCGCGATTTGAGTAGCTGGAAAAAGGGAAAGATCACGAAGTTGGATAGAAAAGAGACTGACTTGGAATACCAATATCCGAGGACTGGTAAGGAGAGAAAGCGAGCTATAGAATATAATGAGGGTAAAAAGGACCATTCCAGCTCTTAAGCTTTTGAAAAGATCTTTTCGGATGATTCGCGCACGGATTTCTACTAACACGAATGAAAATATATACAGAAAATATATATTCTATATATACATATATTTACACTTTAAAAAATATCGGTGAGAGTTTAACACCATTCAATGTCTAATACACAGCGTGTTGGGATTGATATTAGCATGGTAAGAGTTACATTATATAGACATCTCATAGTGTTAAATCCACACCAATATTTTTTAGAGTATTATATATATATATATATATATATATATCCTAATCGTCTCAAAATGTATATCTCATGAATCCCACGGAGCACAATCGGCATAAGTATAAAGTCAATGATCGACACGTTACGCACTTATTCGATCCTCGCATGCGAAAAGCTACAAACTTTTAAATATATCCATGTATATTTGACGATAGGAATGATGACAAAAAATAAAGAAATCGAAGTTCTGGAAATGTTAGTCATATAACAATAGAGTTGATATGGTTATATTGACTAGAATTGACGCTAAACAGGAATAAAAAGATTAAGTGGCTATATTGATCAATTACTGGATGCACTTATGTCATTATGTCGCCAAACATTATATACATATTAATTTTAGCATCTGAGATTGTCTACATATGATTGACTAAATATAACGTATATAACATGATTTTAATTATTTTTAATGCATCGTTAATGCAATATTTTTTATTGCCATTAGTTTGTAAAAATCGATGGTTTTGCTTCCAAGAATTGGAAATGCGATATTATTTTTTCCGTTTTAGATTTACGCCAAGCGGTTATAACTCTACTTATATAATTAAAATGCATTTATAAATCATGTATGAAACGTTATGATATTATTAGAGGAAAATAATAATCGTAAGATGTGAAACTTAATTACTCTATTAGAAAAATTTACTACTCATTTACTCAGAATAAATGCATACACTGATTATAGTATTAGAATAAATATATATATATATATATAAATATATTCCATTACATTATATAAACATTTGAAATCACGAATCTCTGTTATCATTTTTAAAAACTGTGGTAGCTTTATTATAATTGTAATATATAATATTTATATTTACCTTTGAAAAGTGGTACCAACCGACCCCAACAGGTGATAGCACCCTTTCTGTTGAATTGACCGAGGGCGAGCTCCATATAAAATAGAGGAATACCACCAACCACTAACATCACGCAGTAGGGAACCAGAAATGCACCTGCAAAGATAAGTATAAACAAGCCTATTTAGAAGTAGACACGCACTCATTGTCAATTTAACACTAAAATTACCAAAACAGCTGAAATGTCTGATTTGTAATTTTTTAACGCAAATTTATAACAGTGCATTTTTTGTTTTCTATCATTTTTGTTGCAACGTTGGAAAAAAATATTTTAATTTAAAACACTTTGTTTTTTTTTTTTAAAAAGCATATTAACTTTATGTACTTAGCTTACTGCCTTTGTTGATTTTACTTTAAATTTTAATTCTCTGAGTCATTTATAGATACTTATTATATTTTAAATAATTAAACTCATCTATTTACTTTCTTCCTTCGAGAAATCGGTCTACATTAAAAGTCATTAATTTTAGCATTAAAATGTGAAGCAATTAATCGTAAAGTTGAAAATAAATAAATAAAAATATTTTAAGCACTGACTTTATAAAACACATGCGTAATATGCATGTATTTTTCAATTTCATTTCCGATTCCAAATCAATTGCAATATTAAGAGGGGAAATGTCATAAAACTCCGTTTTTTTTATATTTAACCAATTTTTCAAATTTTGTATATGTTCATTTTACGTTTTTATTAAAACGATATTATTACAATGATTTATCAAATGCATCTCTAATCATTATTAGTATCTTCAATTAACATTGACTCTCATAATAATATGATTCTATCTGATTACCATACTTCAATTTCTTAATGTAAGTCGATCAAACGAGATCCGATTACTCTTTCGTCCATCGACGTCTATCTAGAGAAAAGAGTCTTGCGAAAAAAAAGTTGAATCTTAAGACAAAGGGCTATTGTGTGAAGAAATAGAACAGTTATTGTGCGATCTAGGAAGCAGGACTGAGAGGAAGAAGAGGCACCGTTTCCGGAAAAGTGTCTGTACAAGAAGGAAGCGAAGTTAAAAGATAAACAAAATTAGAGGACGAAGTGTGCATGTAGCCGCTAAGAAACTGTTAAAGAAAATCGTCGTCAACTTTAAGGAGTTTAAGGTATGAGCGTTTTCTCCAGTTTGATAATTTAAATAAATTAATGAACTGAAGAAAACGCTCTTGAAGAATCATGACACAAAATTTTAAAACTTAGTGTAATTAAAAATCGTTTTATCGTTTATTGAAAATTGTATGTTAATGCTGTGTTTAATAAGATGTACGATGTTTTTTAATTAAAAGGCATTAGATTTATTATATATTGTACTTTTTCGGAGACAACACTATTATTATTTGTTATATAAAAATCATTTTTATACAATGGCGAAAATAAAAATTAAATTTTATTTATATTCTCCTAGAAAGCAAGAATAAGAGCTGTATCATATACTTTCCGCCGGTCGATCGATTCTTGTTTTACCGTCGCGCTATCTATGAAACTTTAAGCAATCGGAATTACAAAAACTTTTCAGAAATTGTTTTTTGTAAAGCACCGGTTCACCATTCCTGTCAGCCTGACGATCGACTCAGTCGCGTCACAGCGTTAATGTCACCTTGCCGCATTTCCGAAAGTTGACTATCGAATTACGTGCCTAAAAGCACCTCGCTACCGGTGCTCTAAATAACGCACAATGTAGTTATGGAACTAACCCGCTGGTATGAGTGCGTCACATTTTTTCACCGGTTTCTCTCTGAGTGGCGTGTATTATCTTTCTGCCTATGTGTACACTGACTCCTTCATATAATACGGAGTATATTTACACAATTCAGAGTTTTTTCCAAAAAGACAAAATGATTTGTTTAAGTGGTATCCCGGATCAATGCACTGAACAAATAAAATAACATTATGATCGTAATTTATATATTATTACAATTATTTCATATTTTTATACATTGTTATAATTACAAAATATCTTTTTTAAAAATTTTAACATGTAATACCATATTCTTTATCATTCTTAAAAAATTATTAAAATACGTGTAACATTTGTTTATGCGTATGTAGATCTATAAAGGAAAATCAAGAAACTTAGAAATATAGAGATGAAAAAAAATGAATTTAATACAATATGTTCTATAATTAAATAATTAAGCATATATTATTAAATTTATTATATTTAGCATTGCATCAAATTATCGATCAATATCTGACTTCTTCAAATAGATAACAATCAATGATTTATATTATTATTATGTAATTTTTGTTAAATACACTGTTATTCGCTACTACTCGCATTGCATAAATAACTGGTAATATAGACGCGATCAAAAAGAGAATAGCGAGAGACTGTACTTGATCTTCCTTCTTAACTCCAACGGAACTTCCGTTCCGTACCCATGGAGATGTAATCGCATTAAGAAGGATATTGTCGTTGAGCAACCTTGATTAATTTCTTCTTGTCTCTGCCTGAGCAAATCGTCGATCGATCGTACTAAAAATTACATTTTCACAAAGTAGACTATTCATCACTGGATAGCTCCATTACGCGAAAAATTAGTTATAATTAAAATCGTGATCCAATCTAGTGCGCTTTTAATATACTTAAACAAAATCAAAATCAACATATCTGTCAGATGTATTTTATTCACTTCTTTTTGAAAAAAAAAAGTATATAAAGCTCTTGGTAGTGCAATTGATAATATTTTTATTTTACAAGAAGGCAAAACTTATTGGAAAAATATTGGACAAAAATTAATTTCAAAATCTGGAGCAAAGATTTCTTCTCTCTTTCTTTCTGTCTCTCTTGTCTTGACATGTCGCTAACGTCGAGAGCAAACGTCCGGCTCCGGACAACAGTTCCGCTCAATTTTCTCCCTTTGAACTCGAGCATGCACTCACGCAAAGGCCTTAGCGCTTAAAGCTGCATTTTACGCCCGAACAAAGGCGAAAAGCTCGTTCGAATGAAACGTAATGCATTCTCGCGAGATAATCGCGCCAATTGTAGCCCGTCGATCGGAATATGCTTTCACCGAAACTATACCGAAAGGTATACCAGGGTCTAGGTCAAGCTGCTGATGTGCTGGTGTCGTCCATTAACAAAATTCAAAGCATTATTTTGTAGATTTTACTTTGAAAAGGAGAAGCACGCATATGTCTTAAGTATAAGTATTAAAAATATCATAACAGTCTGCGAGTCATATTTCCACTTTATAATTTATGTGGTCCGAGTCGTCGTATAAAATTCAATCTCAATTAACAATATCTCAGATAATAAATCGTAATTTTAAGAGACACTGCATTCGGTAATTTTATACGCATATTATTATGTAAGAGTTTTAATATACATACGATATAAATTAAAGAATAATGCAATATAAAAAAAACTCTAATACTAGTGCATGACATATCTAATTTAATTGTTTATAACTTTTATAAAAATGATATAAAAATCACTTGCTTAATTGTTACGAGTACATGACAAATTAATTCAATTCACTTGTTTGAATAACTATAAATTGTTATAATATTCCGCATTCTGTATATACAACAGTAAAAGATCACGTAGCATACGAGCAGCATAAAAAACTACACCACTAATCTCTTTCATAATATTATTAATTTTCCTATAGATGACATTGCATAAGGCTATCCGATGATTGTCGATTGAGTAATCTGTATCAATACGACAAACCGGTTTAGAATTTCGATTACCATTTACGTGAACAATATCAAGATACATTAATCAAAGATGCGAAAACGTCGTTAGTAACCAGAAGTCTTTACGTTTAATCAAACGGGAAAACTACAATACATATCCATCAAGATTTTTGCGACACGGATATTTCCGCGAAGTGAAAATTATGATACTATAACTAGGCGGATTCGAGGAAGATGTAGATATCCAATTAATCAAACACGCGAGACAAATCCTGTAATTGTGATAAACATTCAAAGAAATATCCTGTATTTCTCTTTGAGTGTGAGTAACAACTTAATTACGTGTCATGTTATTTAAATGAAAAATCATATAAATGATTTTTTTATAAACGTCATAATCAGATAAAATATTATTACTGCAATTCGTTCAAAAAATTGTTTATTTATTAATTTTTTAATTTATTTTTTAAATTACAAAATAGGGAAATATATTATTTTATAAAATATTTTCACATGCGATATTTATACAATATTATTTACACTTATAATCTCTTCTCCTTCTGCAACCTCTCTCTCTCTCTCTACCCTCTTTCGTTAATTTTAGAAGTTTTAATTATTTCAAAATCAATTTAAAAACGTAATTCTTTTATTTTATTCAAAATTGAAAATGTTATATATTTTATTTCAAAATTAAGTTTTTTCTTTTATTCAATCAAATTCATATCAAGTTATTTTGTATTCCAAAACGGAAAAGTTTATCAGTTTAAATTCTCTCAAACGATTTACACAACTTTTAGCGAAAAATTTTTACGATATCCGCTGCATTATCTTTGCTATAGTTTAATCAAAATCGTGAGAGGAAGCGCGTCGCGTTTACATAAAAGTCTACGGATAAAAAGTTGTCGAAGTAACAAACACGAGCGATAGGCACGTGAGCTGCTCCAAATTGTAATCATGAAACAACACGTTAATAACGCCTCCCGTAGGGCGATAACAACGCAGCCGCCGTCCGACGGGGTGCAGCGGCGTCGCGCACGTCCATGATCAAAGGCCTGCGTCCCGAATGGGAAATTATAATTAATTAAGGTAATTGGAAATTAGCGACCGATCTTGCCCATCCTAATGGCGCGGAGCCGCGCGCTCTACTCCGCTCTTAATTGAGTTAGCAGCCGCTTTTGAGGAGCCTCTGTATCACTGACAGCAGCCCTAATCGCATTCCTACTGGGGACCCGATAGAACCGGTACTAATGGCGTCGTCGCCGTCGTCGTCGTCGCCGTTGCCGTTGCCGCAGCGGGGCTTAGCAAAAGTCAATAAGATTGCCGACCGTTTTCCAAGATCGATCTCTCTGAGACCGAGAAGCGATTTCGCATAAAGGTGAGATCAGGGATTCTTGATAAAAAATGAGACAATATGTTGGTTACGCGAGACGGATTAATAATCGCGAATGTTAATGTTAATTCCAAATAAAAATGTATGTTCAACATATGTCACATGTAATATACGGATTTCCGATTTATGAACATTGGAGAAAATGTACCAAATTTGAATGAATATTTGTTTAAATAGTCATTAAATATGTATTAAGTGTAAATATATATTTATTTTTTATATAAGATATGAGAAAATCATGAGAATATTACTTCACAGATTTTTGAATAATATATTCGATTTTGTTCAAATTTAATTGTTATTTCATTGTTTTTATTTGAATGGCTATTATTATTTTGTCAATATTATCTTAAAATTAATTAGAAACCCCATAATTCATGTGTGTTATAAAGTATCAAAAATTCTTCGAATTTAGTCATAGACAACTTAAAGACAATAATCTTTTCGTAATAATAAAATGATCATCAAGTAGGATATTATATGATATTAAACGTTTAAATGAAAAAATACAAAAATATTATAATTTTGTAATTATTTTTCAAATAATAATATCTTCAAAGATATTTGCAAAATAACTATTGTCATTGTATAATTATTCCTCTTCTGTAATAAACAAAGGCGTAAGGTAAATTGATTACAATATGAAAAAAATAAACTGCTAATCGTTACACTACGAAAAACCTGATAACTTATTCCAATTTATTTGCAGTATTAACTAATAAATCATTTTTTCTTATTATTAGTCTTAAAGCATGTTATGCAAATGTAATATTAGCATGTATGAGGTGTCAAGGCGAAATATTCGCATAATATGTTAATATTTATAAAATCTGTGTGTACCGCAAGGCGGAGGCGATACAATTGATATATAATATTTGATTGGAATAAGAGTATCACTACATTATTTTTATAATATCTACATGTTCCAAAGAATAGCAATTATATCATTTAATAAAACAAAATTTTAGCTCAAAAGAATTTGTTTTCTAACTACGGTACGCAATGATTTTTAATGATAGAATTATGAGCAATCAAAGTCAAAATGCTTTTTTTGTTTAATCTGTAATGATTCAGTAACAATAAATTTTAGGAATATTCTTCAAAAACGATTTTATAAGAAACTTGATCGAGGTCAATAATACGACTAAAATCCTATAGGAAAATACATCGAAATAAATCAAAATGCATCGTTTCTCTTCAGCACTATTTCTCCCCCAACTAAAACATTGTTTTCTTCGCCATCATTCGCCTATATATATATATCTGAGTTTTTCTTTGCTAAGCTTGGAGATGAAATTTGAGTGAAAATCTTTTTTGTTTTACTTTCAATCGTAATTTTACAAGTTCAATATTGTTCATTAGTATTATTGACATGGTGGCACAATCATTTGATAGGTATGAGCTACAGAACTTTTATATTATATCATATAAGGAAAATTAACCTCATATGACAGCCAAATGTAAGTGAATTATAATTTTTTCTTCGATTATTTTTGTAAAATCTATTATTGCATTATTTCTGTTGATGCATATTTTGTATTCTATAAAAGGATTTTGCAATCAATAAAGCCACAATTCGACAAATTGTCAACACTGTAATTTGTGATCATTCCCGTCAGTTTAGCATCCCCTTAAGTTTCAAAATCCTTATTTTTAATTTAAATTTTCTCTATTTTTAACAAAATTATAGCTGAATGAACTTTGAAATTTGTAAAGCTTTGAACTTTTGTTCCCATATACAATTGACATCAGTACGAAATAATAATTAAATATTAATTACATTACAATTAAATCAAAATCTGTATACGATGTTATTCGCAATTAAGCTGTTTCTTTTATTTTTCAAAAAGCTCATAGAATTTTTAGGATTCTTATTAAACAAAACTGAGTTATTTTAAGTAAAAAAGATTCGAGCGATGACTGCACAATTTTAATCGTTTCCACACTTGATTGCTCCCGTTAAAAAGTGAAGAAGAAAGTTAATATCGCTATGAGTACTCCACGATTTACGAAGCTCCGCCTTGTAAATTATTACTCCTCTGTAATTATAACCAATTTCGGCATCAGTAGAGGTGCTGTCGTCGTTAGAAATCTTTGCCGAGCGAAGTCTAAATCCCGAGGTCATTTTCTGCGAGGTAAATGCCAATTAGCCGACCGGTTAGCACGGCATTGCTTGCCGGGCTGGAGTATTATACATTACTCGACGACGCGTAACACCCAACCCTCGTCACGTTAACTTAACAGCGAAATAACGACGATGTTACGATGCAGTTGACGAAATTTTCTCTCCACACATGAGTTTATCGAAGAAGCAGGAGACGAAGCAGATTCTCCTGTGCCAAACAAATACGCTATGCAAAAGAATGCGATAAAAAAGGAGAAAACTAAAAATGTTAAGGGTGAAATTAAAGGAAGACATAGTAAATTTTATAATTTAGTCATCTGTAGCTTTCCGCTCAATTAATTTTGAATTTAAATCTGGCCGAGAGCAACACTCAACCGTAATGACGAATAATGTTTTCCGTGATGTAAATAAGTGATTCATAATGAAATGTTTTCCACATTAACGCAAGTATGAGACCCATAACTCTGGAGATCTGATGTTGGAGTAATAATTACATCCCGGTTTGATAATAGTGTTTTAATTAATGTTCTTGATGTAAATTAACATCGGTTTCCTTAGTCAACTGATTAGAATCGACATGATTTTTCATCTCTCGCTTTTAGAAAAGGAGAACCATTCCGCAAACCGAGACAAACACGATCGGACACGGGTGGAACCTGCCGTTATAATTCTGACCGGCGATTTCCGTTCTCGTGTATTCTTACGGCGTAAAAAATAATGCGTGAATAATGCTAGAGTTTTTGCCAGCAACCAATGATGCGAAAAATTACGAAGCTCGTGGAAGGCGCAGGGAAATGTTTACTTATAGGCGAAATCGCGGATCTCGTTGTTAGTAACAAATACGAGCGATGGAATGGGGTAATGGATGAAAGAGCGGATTATTATTGAAATCGTATCTCTACCACTGCGCCCGTCAATGACAGGGAAGAGCACTCAACTTGTGCAAAATAATCGAAAATAAACCGCGCGGAAATCGCGTCACACGTTGCGGCCGCGTTCACCCGTTCTCTTGGACAGATACATGTACTTACCACCACCGTTCTTGTAGCAAAGGTACGGAAATCGCCACACATTAGCGAGATCGACGGCGAACCCGATGACCGACAATAAGAAATCAAGCTTTCCCGACCAAGTCTCTCTGCCGTCACCGCCGTTGACGCCCTTCGCAGCATTTTTTACCACCGTTGACGACATCCTTCCGGTACCTGCAAAGCGACAGCAATGAATATGCTATCTCTGACTCATAATTACATTCTATAATGTTTCGGAGATCCTAAAGTCTTGCATTTTACCAACTAAACCATATAATTTTTGTATAACAACTACTCTCTTTCTTTTTTAATGATTTTAAATCCTTTTCCAGGATTAAAGTCGAATATAAACACCAAATTTCAAATTCAATCACAGAAAGATAATAAATCTGGTACTCACAGTTAAAGCTATTATATTAAACGTTAATTCTAATCGAAACCAGAAATTCAGTTACAATAATCAGAATTCTAATTATAGTGTGATTGCATTTTGTTTATTCTTCTTGTTAGTAAAATCATAATAAGAAGTCTAATAAGATTTAAAATCCAAGATAATAGTTTAAACTTTTGTGATCAATTAAAACTAGGCCCTAAATCTTAAACGCTAATATAAAGTCGTTATTAGAATTTATGGCTGATCAGAAATTTAGCCTAAATCAATTCAATTACTATTTTATATATGCACAATGTTACATCTTATATTCTTACATCATAGGTATGTATGAAATAAAAATATTTTTCTTATTAAATATTTTTCTTATTAAAGTTTCTTAAATAATTTATTAATGTACCAAAAGTTCAATAATTTATTGTCTGGTTGAGATACTTGTTGAAATATTGTTAAAGAAATTTCGCATTCTCTGCAATACAAAGCTTTGCATTTTACTGTTACAATATCGAATTACAATTTAAAATTTTCCCTCACTTTTCGAATAAATTCTAGTTTTTCAGAGCACTCTCATATTCAATTAATCAAAAAACAAAATAACTGGAATGTTTTATCTTGAGCCTAAAGAAAGGAGAATTATGAATAAATGACGATGAATATAAATTTCTTCGGGATTTTAGGTGAACTTTTCTTGAAAGCAAAAGTCTTGTTCGTGCAAATCAACGTAATTATGTAATGTTGGAGAAACACGGCTTATGAACGAGTGCATAAATCTGCGCTCGGGATTAGGCGCAAGGTCGCGAATGTGCGAAGAGCGAAAGGAACTGAGCGAAAGGAAGGTGCAGCGCGAATGGGGAGGGATAATGGAAAACGAATGGTGCAGATGACGATGGTAATAGATATGGAAAGAAAATCGACAATTCGACATACGCGATCGAGTATATTGATCATTATATTATTTATTATCGTGCTGGCTTGAAATAGATATATACGTGTGTATCTTTGAAAAAAATTGACCTTAAAAAATCTTGAAAAGAAACTTAAGACTTAGTCTAAGCACGTGAATTGTCGTAACATTTAACTTAGACATAACTTAGGCTTAAATTTTTAGACTTAAGCACAAGCTTTGGCGTATGACTTATTGCTGTGTTTCTTGAAGATAATCTGTCACGTCAAACTCTTATACGTTAAAACTTGTGATTTGCTTATGTTACAATTTAGATCTAAGTAAGAGTTACGATAATTCATTCACAAATTTTTTTTACATCGTTACTGTAGAAAAAACTGTTAAAAAATCTAAAACAATAAAAGGAAAATATTAGAAACTTTTGTTTAAAGTCACATTAAAACTTCCTATAATTGTAAAATCATGAATTTGTTTAAATTTCACAACAAGATAAAAAGAACTCGCTATCAAAAGGTTATTTCATTAAAACACAAATGTAAAATTACATAATTCTGTACCTTTTACTCAATCCTTTATTATAGAAAATGCAACACCGCCGTATCTATCTAGTGGCGATGTCGCATACTGTTTACGGAAACTTTATGTCAACTTAGCCTTACTTTAAAACTTAACAGCTTTAAAAATTCTACGACAGATGCAACGGAAATAATAAAACTTTCAATTTTTCTACGATTATTTTAAAGCTCTCTCGCCTTGAAATACTTAATTTAAAGTTTTTATTCTGAATTAACCTTTTACATTTTAAATTATTACCTCAAAATTTTTTTAAGTAAATTCTTAATTACTTTTAAAAACCTTAACTTCATTTAAAATAAATTTTCCCAAGGGTATGCAAAAGAGAGAAAGAGAAAGAGAGAAGGGCGAGGGGGAGAGAGGAGCGCGTCGCGTGCACGACGGGGCGCGGCGCGGGCGCGTGTAATTTGGCGACGACAAGTTATCGATAGCCCTTCAAGCGACAACGCTCGACGCCCCTAACGAGCCTCATTGTACCCCGTGACGGGTACCGGTCAAACAGCGTATATTTCAAAGGCGATCGCGGGCGATCCGGCCTCGAGGGGCCACTCGACGAGGGGTTTTCTGTCACGCGCACTGATCCACGCTTATCCACGCAGACCCAGTTAATTGATATTCGGCGGTCGTGGAGACACCTATGGATGCGCGAAGATGGACGGCGACGAAAAATCATCCCCTCACCACCGCCGCCATCACCACCGCCATTGCAGTCGCCGTGTCCGTGAAATCGCTCGCATGCGTTTCCGTCGCGGCAGAAACCGGTTTGCTGAGAAAAGATCTGATCGGATATATGTATAAATGGAAAAATAATGAATGGAATTTAACATCCGATCTAATTTTATTAGACCAGATACAAAACATCTCATTAATCATCAACTAAATAAAACATCCACGTAAATTAAATGCATGCAATGTAGATATAAAGCGATTGAAATATATACGTATAATGCATATAAGAGCGAATATGATTTTATACGTATATTTCGATGTTGTTTTTTAACTTTTTTTATTATTTATTTTATTTTTAGTAAATTTTTTAATTTGTAGATTTTGTTTGTATAGAGAGAGATTCTTGAATAATACATGTTCTCGTTAAATAATATTAACAACACTTTTTTTGATAAACCATGGAAAGAATGGTTTCGTTGAAGTATTTAAAATTTTAGCTAAATACAAATCTGAAAATTATAAGCTTCAACAATTAAAAATTATACATGTATAGGTATAAGTTGACATAATGAAGTAATGAGCGATATGTTTGCAGTTTTTACGCGTAAGGTCGATTAGGACAATTGATTAGAGAACGAAAAAATAAAGAGTATAGAATAAGTCAACATAAGAGCGTTAATGAAAATAAATGTAAAATCAGATGTCGGAATCAGCAAGAAAAGAATTATTGTAAAGAGTGTGAGCGAAGAAATTATTAAACATAATGCTTTTCTATAATGGACGATAACTTATTTTGAGTTATTGGGCTTTTATTATCGAGCCTACATAATTTTGTTAGATCCTCAAAATAATTATATAGAACACTCAAACTGCAAATTGCAAAATGCCAAAATTTTTGTTAGTATTTTTCATATTTGAAATTCGTACAAAATTATTTTGACGGTTCAACAAACTTATTTTCAGATTTGTATATTTAGTTAAACTTGTATTTCTTTTATAACAAAAGACTAAACATGTATTATAAAAATCATTAAAAGATCTTCTTTTCCCTCCATTTTTCTTCAATGTGCGAACAATGATTTCACTCGATGTATCATAAATTTTTAATAAGTATTTCAAAACTACTTTTAATAATGATAATGATTGAAAGAAAATATAGGAAAAGAAGGTGACATAAAAATAATATTCTCATTTGTGTCTATATTTATTCGGGGGCCGGTCTTTTTCCGCTAGAAAAATCTCTCGAATCACTCATTATCCAAGGAAGTGTGAATTAATAAGCGTAACCACGATCGGATTGCAAAGATAGCGAACCACAAATGGTAATATATGCACACGCACACGAGGACAAATAGGCCAACCGCAATGACGCGGAATCGGTCGCTGTTGAGACTTCATATTTTTTTTATGGTTTTTTTTCTATTGCATTTTTAAACTAGCCACACCTTAATTCTTGCATTAACGCAAAACATGTCTCGTTTTCTTCCTAGATTAATATAGTGCGATCATCCTTCAAATATCCAGACTTCTAATTACGAAAGATTATTATTCTATAGCAATTTTTAAGAACTAGAAACGCGAGAATTTGAATTATATAATTTGCAAACTTTGATTAAATTAATATGAAATTTCTATTTCTATTACATCAGATTTCTATTTAAATTTATATTTTCTATTACATACTTCTTTTCTTTTTTAGACAATATTTTGTAAATTCAAAGTTGTATTCTTTTTCATCAAATTTTCTTATCTTTCGTTTCATTAAAATATACCAATGATTACACCAATGATTTACACCAATGATTCTGATGTCCTCTCTACGTTTTTTATTTATACTTCTGAAGAAGACTCAATCCAAGAGTCGAAACATGTAAAGTCTTGAAGATTCAAAGATTTGCGGTTAAGTTTTATTGAAAATGTCTATCTCTGTTACGTATTATTTATATCTTCGAATTTATTGTTTCTCTATTATTTTTTGACTACGTGATTAAAATTTTAATGTTATGACTCTTAATTTGTCTTTTTAGTCTATTACTTTATGTTTTAAACTAAGAGTCCTTTGCCTTATTTATTATTATTTAATCAAATTAAATTATAATTTCATTTCAAAAAAGTAATATTAAACATCTTCTGCCGATAATTACAGTTATCAAAACAAATATCGCTTATTAGTCTTTCCGGAAAACTTTAGAAGAAATCAAGTTCAATCTCTATAATCATCTAAATCATTCGCGATGTAATAACTATTTACTCAATTATACTCCAAAAAAACTGTATAAAAAATAAATAATAAAAAAATACGCTATCATTAAAATCAGATAATTTATTAATAAGTATTATATAGATATGAAATATATTTTTAAAAATACATATATACAATATGATAAATACATATAAAACTTCACTTATTTTTTTTATTTTATACTATGTAATATATTAAAATTTATTAAATTTATTGAATTTATTGAAAATAAGTAATCTCACTTAGAAAGTTTTATAATTTTTCTATTTTTTATTTCTTTTAAAATTATACTATCATAGCTATTTATACGCATATCAAATCCAGTTAATGAAGAATACTATATAATAATTTCTTTTAATGATAAAAAAATACAACATTATTCATTCTAATATATTACTTTAATATATTATTCACTTTTTAAAAAATAACCAGAGGTATTAAAATAACATTTGCATGAAATGCATCTATCTGAGATGACATAATTTAAAGATGAATAGATACGTAGTATTTAATTATTCACAATTTGAAAAACGCACATGCACGTAAGTACATACAGACAAATTCCAAGTGTTCAATCGTTGACATAAAATCTATTATGCATGAAACGCATAGAGAGTTATTCCTGCGTCGCAATAATTTCTATAGTTATTCGAAAAACTGTTAATATAAAAAAATATTTATATATCCTTACATCTCTTACACAAACAAATGATAATATTCCTTGAAATCAATCAAATGTATTTTTATCCAATATAAATATCTACAAAGTGTAATATATGATATACATATAGTAAAAAAATATAGTAATAAAATTACAAATTAAGTTTTTTCACTAGCATAACACTTGTCACAATTTTGCAATCTTTAACTTTGATCTTCGACAGAAATCCTATATTTACTTAATCTAAAAATCACACAATTTAATGTGTAATCCTTACAAATAATCATACATTGTCTATAATATATTATAATGTAAATAAATTAAAATCCTATAAAAACGATATAACTTTTTCACGTCTAAATAAATTTATGAAAAACTTATTTAGAGAGACGATACGCAATCGAAGTAAATCATGAAATAATCTTTTCGCCCGTCACAAATACAATCTTCATTAATTCTTTCGTTATGTCTCTTTCTTTTTTAATACATATTACTTATGGAATACATTTTACAGAAAATATCTCGGTTTTTTTTTTAAAGCAGGAAACTTCTCTTCACACTAGTTATTTCAGCTATTTGTTGCAACGTGTTCTTTGCATTAAAATAATTTCTTAACAAGAAAGAAGAACATTAATTGTTTTATGCTATTCGCCAACTTTCTCATATTCACAATTTTGTTAGAAAAATTCATGAACCGTAAAAAAGTGTCTGTCAAATCAAAGGACATGACGATATCTTTGCGTCATTGTCTCAAAATAAAATACGAATTGTATACACATGATAGGAATTCCCTGCATCTAGAGTCACGATAAGAAAAAAAGAAAAGAAGGAACCTACCGTGATGACCTTCTCTCGTCTTAAGTATACAAAGGTCTTCCACTCTCTTTTTAAGCAAATTCCTCCGTCGAGAGGGAAAACCCGAAATACCGTGATGGGGGCAGACGGTTAATCGGGCACGATTCGCGACGGTGAACTAACTGCTCGCGAGTTGCGTTCCGATTTCAAATATTCAAACGATAGCTACTCGAATGTGGTTAAGGTGGCCGACGAATATATAAGGATAGTGAGGGAAGGGGTTAGAGGGGAGAAAAAAATCTGTCAGATTCGAAGAAACTAACGACTTCGGATGGGAAGTTTCCTGCACGGAGTTTCCCGAGAATTATGAACGTGAGACTAATTAGATTTTCCTTTAACCAGCAATTGAATCTTTGAGGCAATACTCAATCGACTCGGACATCAATGTGTCGCGAATGACAAATGATCGTTTCATTCCCGATGAGTGCATCTTCACAATTGTTGATATCCTTCAATGGACGTGCGTTTCGAGGGAATGCAGGAAGCATTCCGAAAGATGCAAAGATAATAGCCCGTTATCGCTGTGATTCAAGTGCTTAAGATAAAGCATCATTGACATTTTAATTTACTCCTATTGACCTTTAAATCATTTTTCCCACATTAAGATAACGCATAATCAATACTGTCTGATTAAGTAACTTTTGCATATAATACATATCACAATATACTATATAACATAATATGCATCGAAACACTTCTTATTTCATTAATGCTGATTGGTAGATATTTTTTTTGTATGAGACAAGTATTGCTGTAAATTTGAATAGTACAATAAAACTGTAAACTTTAAATTTGTATATATTTATCTGTATGTATACATATATTCTTTAAAAATTATTTTATATATTTGTGCGCATGTATGAATTATTTAAAATATAAACATACAAGTCATAAGTTAAATATGTAAAGAGAAGAGATAAATACAGAGGCTGGATCTCGGTATCTATAATATTTTATACAATACCATATTATGCGTAAATTTTAAATACATATCCCAGTTATATAAATTGCTCGCTGATTTTTGTCGAACTCGACAGTAATTATGAACTGAAGCTAAAATAATAAAAACACAAATTAAATTTATGGTCACTTTAATAATAATGCTATATAAACGTCATAAAGCATTGCAAAGAATTTATTGTAAAAAATATTATGTAATATTATATAATAGTTTTTCCATTGCTTTAAAATACTTATTAGCCTTATTAAGAGATACATCATTATATTGACGATGAATTGATATTATTAATTTAACTCTACGATTGCTGTCAAGTCCGATAATAACCGACGCGTAGTTTATATAACTGAAAAATGCATTTAAAATTTATATATAAATATTATCTATTATGTACTAATTCTAAGCATAACCGTAAGGTTTGTAACATTTTGTCGTAAGACTTATAAGAACTTTTAAGTGTTTATACATTTGTATAACATTTTTACAGACAGCTAGCTTCTTACTAGCTAATAGTCATAAATTTTTACAAGTTTTGCGAAAACGAGTTACAAATCTTATGATTCTGCTTAAAATTGACCCATAAGATCTAACCCCAACCAAATATTTTGCTCTCTCTCTCTCTCTCTTTTATTAATTTAATTTATTTATATAACTAGATTTAATTTAACTTACACAATTTATAGAGTTATATTTCACATTCTTAGACTTTTTAACTCAATTCTAATTATAAAACCCCTGATGAATTTCACATATCAAGAATTTTAATTTGAATTTTTGACAAAAGGGGAGCGCAATTAATATCCATTGTAACTTTTCAATAGCTAAAGATACTTTTGTTTTTTTTTTTAATTTTTAACAATAAAACTGCTCGAAAAACTTCTGAATAATCTTAAATATATAAAATTATCAAGAGTTTCACTTTTATTATATAAAACCATGTGAGTATTTTAGGTTTTATTATTTAATTGAAATTTTTCTATACATCTGCCAAAAAGTATTTTTTATCAAAATGTTCGATTATTTATATCTTAATTATATATAAAAAATTATACGTTCATGAAATTATAATTAAAGATGAAAGAAGTTGATGTTAAAATTAAAATATTACATAATAAAATTATGTTTACAAATAATAATGTTGTTTTGTAAAATCTTTTACTTAAGTGCGAAACTACGGCGGACCACATGAAATCTATTGATACAACGCGCGTTTCGCGGATAAAACTAAAAATTTTCGAAAACAATTGATTTACAGTAAACCAAATATTTCACAAAGGTAGTGTAGTGTCGTGTTCGTAAACAACGTTTCGTGAAAACGTAAAGTATTCGACATGTCAACGTTTGGTTTTATGATCTGTTGAAAACGTGCAGATAAATCTGACATTGTATAACAATTTCTCAGGAAATCCTATAAATTTAGGATTTCCCGAAATTCCTAATATTTTATTTTACAGCTCTCTAATATAAAATCTAAATGCGTATGAAAAAGTTACGATAAACAGATTGAGGAATCTATAGAACCATTTTTCATTGTATACACATAATCTTATTCGAAAATTCACGGTTGTATCAGGGGGGTCAATGTGTGCTTGAAAGGATATGAAAATTACAACAGTGAGCAAATTTATTAGAGTGTTAATAACTTCATTGGTCGACATCTAATGAACTTGTACACTTTTGTAATTTTCACATCGCCTCGAGATACACAATTGACTCCTAGAATCTAAGATAACGATCACTCTTAAATACAGCTACAATATCATTCAATTGTGTTCTTTCTTTTTCTAGTCTGAGAGAAATTTCTTTTTCTATATAAAAGATAAACAAAAGAATTAAAATCACTGTTCGGAGATTGCGAACCCATCGTCACCATCGTATAGACGATTGGTTCGTTCTTGGCCTTGGCTACATCCGCGGGAGGGAATTTTCTCGGATTGTGACGAGAAAGACGAGAATGCGAGAGGTACGCGGAACGCGTGTACTTACCGAGTGTCGCGTCGAAGACGACTAACGAGCGACGGCGTCGCCGTGAATGTTGCAGCTTGGCGAGACACCGCGACACTGACCGCGCGGCTCCTCGGTCCACGGCAGGACTCCCACGACGAAGACTCGCCACAGAGTCAGAAGTAACTCGAAACTGGTATCCGTCAGACCCATGCCCGATTAGCGCGTCGTCGTTCCTTTTCTTCCTCTTCTTCCCTCCGCCCTGCGTTTCAGCGCCGAATTCTACAGCGGATTTTCTTCTTCCCGCGCGTTACTCTACGTAAAGGAGGGCGACGCTATTTGCCACGGAAGAAACGCGCGTTTGTACCCAGGTGGTTCGCGCGAGTCACTCGCGTTATTCTATTCGAGAGTCCTCTCGTGCATTCCGACGACGATCGGCGAGGAGGTGAAGCGAAAGGAAGAAGCAAGATCGCAAAAGGACGCTAAACGTTTAGAGGCAGACCGCGTGTCTCGAGACGGTCTCCAAATATACGTCGTGTCGCCCCGTCGCGAGTTGTTTCCGGTGAAAGAGCGCGTACTGTGTTCGAGAAAGAAATTCGCGACCCGTTCTTTCGCGAGATCAATTAAAGAAGCACCAGGGCGAAGCTAAGAAAAAGTAAAAAGAGGAGAGGAGAGGAGAGACGGGGGTGCGAAACGGGGATGTGGTGATATTTCTTTCAGTACAAACGGGGGGAACCTTGTCGCAAAGGATCGAAAGAGCAAGTGGCGAATTTTAGCGCCCGTCGACGCGTATATACGCGCCTTGATCACGTGGTGCGCGACCGCGACCAATCACTGCACGCGCGCGCGCGCTGTCGCTCGATGGGAAATTCTACGCACATCGATAAGAAGTCACCTTTCTAAAAAAAAAAAGAGGGAACAAAAAACATATTGCATATAAACACTTATATGAGTTTATCTTTGGTTTATTAACATATATATTAATAAATATTATTTTACTAATACATGTATATTAATTAAATTAATGTATATCCACATAGATTACATATACATATCACATATGTGTATAAGTATACAGCATATATATGTATATAAATGCGATCAATATATCATAGTTTTGTAAAAATATATTAATTAAATTGTACTAATAAAGTAAAAATAAATATAATATACATTTTTTTAATAAACTAAAATATATAATAAAATAATTTGATTTCGCTCGTTTTTTGCAATGCAAAGTATAAAAAAGACGGTCTAAAAATATATAAAAAATATAAAAATAATATTGAACATTTCGGAACTCACACAGGTCCTTCTTCAGCGATTCTTACAGATGTTACAGTGTCATAGAGATAAACGCATAATCTTATGGTCGAAACGACATGGTGTGGTACAATCGTAATGTTCAATATTATTTTTATATTTTTTATATATTTTTTATTTTTATGTTGTTCCTTAACAACATTGTAAACTAAAAATTTATTATATAAAAAAATATTATTACCACTCGATTTAGATCTATAAAATAAAATATTAATATAAATATAAAATATTTACATTTATAACATACATAATATTTTATTTGTAATCTTATTACTCGCACTTATTTCCTTTACAAAAGTAACAACATTTAAGAATTACATGAGCTGGGAATAAAAAATTTAGTGCCACGTCAAAAGTCAAAGATTTTTACTTAATCATTAATAAATCATCTTTTTATTCAAGTAAGATGATGAGTAGAGTATGTTTTTCTTAGATAATAGAAAGCATGATATTGCGTCTTAGGAGTGATAAGGAAATCAACAAGGAAGAAGGAGATGGAGGATAAGGAGATAATACGTTGAATGTTTTAATTTTTTGTGTATACATTGATTTGCTTTTAATAAAATAGAAGTATATCGAAAATTATCCGTATTAGTAGTCATATATTTATTCTTTCAGTAACGATGACAAGCTGTGTAAATGCACGCACACACATATATACGCGCGTACATATACGTACACGTGCTCTAGACAATTATTATAAAAACGTTAAGAAACCGATTGGGATTTCCAATTAGCAAATTTCAAAATGTGTGGTATTTACCCTTCTCCAAAAAAAAGAACCAAATAATAACGGATTTTCCTTATTACAGTGTGAAAGTTCAAAGATAACATTGTAGCTCTGGAGTAAAAAATGTTATTATATATATATATACACATATAAATGTGTGTTGTGTGTGTGTTATATATATATAAAGTAAGAATGTTTTAGAAATTCGAATTGTTTTAAAAATCTGAAATTTCTATATTTTCTATTAATTATTTATAATATACATACATATTCTACAAAGTTCAATTGCGAACAACAATAAAATTCGTATACTATTATATAATATAATCAATTGCGATTTTTTAAATAACAATTCAAAAACGCCAAGAAATATCAATTATATTGTTAAGTACATAATAACGTTTTAAAAATCATTTCTCGAACCATAAAAAGAGAGTGCTCAAACTTTTACTTAAAAATTTTGTTTTCATTTGAAAAATATTAAAAATGCCGCCAATCCTGTTTATAGGATCGAAATTTCCCAAATAACAATTTAGATAGAAATAACCGCTTAGGGCCTCTTTGACCAACTCCAATTAACGCTAATCGATGGTTAACTCAATCATTACGATTGCTAACTGAACACAGTTTATCCCAAAAGAGGAAGAGAGAGGAGGCATTTCGATACATTAAACTGCTGTTGGGCACTTCTGCCGAGTTGATCGTCGATTAATTTGATCAGAGAACTTGGCGCAAGAAACCTGAACGCGAGTTTGAAAATATCGCGCCGTCCTCGCCGATTGGTCGGCTCTGCGCCAATCCCGCGGGGTCACGAATGCACAGCTGCGAATGTACTACACGAGCGAAGGCGACGACGGCGATTGTAATGTAATGGTTGGGATGGGCAGAGCGTAAGTCGTCCAAGTCGCCCGAAGCTGTCAAGCTGCTTCACGCGGTCGTAATCCAGCTCCTCCGTCCGCTTTAGTTTTTCTCGACAAACGGGTGAGTAACGTGCGTCTTACGACGGACGGTTCCGTTCCTCCGTTAACGACGATCTCGTTATCGATCGTTTATTTGGGTCGCGTCTTTCTCGCTCGTTTTCCCCTCTTGTTTTTTTCCTTTCCGTTTCGCGCGCGATAGTGTCGATGCGATAAGTCGCGACGCTCGTCATCCGCGTTCGACGACGCTTTCGCGGCGAGCGTCACAAAACGCAATCGCGCCATACCATACGGTCCGCCGAACGCGGTACGTCTCTCTCTCTCTCTCTTTCGTCACCCATAAATTACCGTAGATATTATCTTTCACTGCGTGAGCGGAGAAAACGCGGAAACGAGACGGGCCGCGCGGAAAATTCTGATTCCGCGATCGTAACCCTTCCTCTCCTCGCCCCGCGTACACTTAGCTGCATTTCATTAGTAGTACAATAATTTGTCCTTGTTTAACACTTGATAACCAAATAAAGCCGAAAATGCAACTTTTCTATTAAAAAAAAAAAACTCGCCTTAATTTTAAGAGCGCTGTGAGCACAAATGGAATCCAACCTACGTTGCAATCTGCGTTACCTGAAAAGTCTCTAAAAAATTTTAAATAAAAAAACGATATAAGAATATATTCGAACTCATCGAGAAGAGAGAAAACCGAAGATGAATGCATGAAGTGCACAAGCAACGCGAACAGGAAACTTAAACAAGAAACTTAAAAAAAAAAAACTTAAGCAATAAGTGAATCGGTCAATCATAGTAAAGAACTATTTTACGTTCTCTACTGTGTTTGACCGATTCGTTTACGGCTTTAAGTTTTATTGTTCTCTATCTTATTATTCTATCTTGCGATTTTTATGTGTTTCTAGCTTTATTAATTACGATTCTTGAAACGAGGTGAAAATGACAAAAAAATTCGCTTATTTTTCTAATATTATTATAAGTCGCGTGTTTGCGTTGCTTAAACTCCCAAAAATTTTTTCATTTAAAAAGAAGAAAAAATATATTTAGATGTTGGAACGAGAGAAAAAAAGCGAAGATGCTGAGTACAAAAAGTACAAGCGACGAGAACAGACCTATTTTTACTTATTGTAGTTTCAGGAACTGTAATAAGTCCCTATAAACTTACCGTTCTTTCTGCGAACTGTGATGTACCTGAAGGCGAGAAAAATTCCGATTGCGGATCGTTCGCTCGATATATATAAGTATACGCGGAAATATCGTTGCAGCAGTAACGCGTTGCGTAAATGAGATTTTACTTCAAAGAATCCTATCTTTTTTTCTGGACGCTCAAATAACGGCAATCCAATTTCTACATTTTGTCACTCGATTTGCGACACGATTAATGTCCATTTTCACCAAATAGATTAACTTTAATCTCGGGTTAATTTACTCTTTATCTTTTTCTAATTTTTAGACCTAAATAAACAGTAAGTTAAATCGAGATTGGATTAATTTACTGGATTAATTTAAAGAAACTGGCATATTCAGAGTTATTTATTAACGAATGTTTGCGCGTTTGTTCAGCGAGTTTGACGTTTGCTATAGGATTGAAAATCGGTATCGTCGATCGTTTCTTTATTGTAGTTCTAATGGATGCTGTAAATTAATATTACGTATCACAATAATTCACGTGTAAATATCGATGATTTTCTCAATATTTGGAGTATTCAATACTCTTCCGCGATTTATGACTTTCTTCAGTTAATCTCGCGACAGATCCTCTACAAACTTTCTAAACTTTCAAGATAATCAAGTTTATGCCACTTGATAGCAATATTTTATGTTATATATATTTTTAAAACTCACGATATGCACATTACATTAAAGATATCTAACAAAAATTAACTAAAATTTGTATTACAATAAATTTAACTAGAAGTCGAGAGTATATTAAAGTATATTAAATTTCTAAAAAAGATAATAATTTATCCATGTTATATGTAACGTCCTTGAAATTGTGAAAATCGATGATATAATAATAATAACAATTTTAACTTGGACGTATTGTAACAAATACAAAAGAACGTATATTTTATTATTGCGAGTTGAAACTTGTTCGTAACATCTTGCTCGAAGATAAAGTACATTCAAATTCGATTTTTCTGCGATAAATTGAATCGAACGAACGTTTTATTTTTACCTTCCATGCCGAGATACTATTTTAAACAAATTTTTATTACATTGACTGTCTAGCTAATTTCGAGGTATATTGAGTTCAATAAATGTGATATATTAAATATTTTTTAATGTCTTATTATTAGTATAATTTATATTATTTTTTTTAATGGCTTAAATATTTAGTAAAGTTATTTTTAGTTTTTGATTAAAACACAACGGAACTTTCGCAGAAACTTGCGTTATCCAGATATTGATGGTGCGAAGTCAATATACAATATTTAAGTAAATAAACATATAAGTCATAAAATTAATAAATGTAATTTCGAGGTCGAAAACAAAGTAACGCAGTATCTGTCATTGGAAAAATAAGTTTCGCGAAATATTTAAAACAAAGTGTAACATACTATAGATAAATATTCACGTGCATGATAAACGGTACTCCATCCTATAGCAATTCCACCGATAATTTACACTGCGTAAGTTCGCAACATTTACGTTGTATTCGTGAAATATTTTATAATGTACAGCCGCGCATATCGTATCAAGTTAGATAAGAAGTCAGGTATTATTTCCTCCTCGCTCACACACAAATGCGAGTAATTGCCCCGCTTTATAGAGGGGACATCCTTGAAAGTATGTGACAATTAATAATATATTTTAATTCAATCCATATCTTTTTGAAATAAATACAAAAGCATATCAATTACTTTGAATCTCTAAACTCGCCTTTTAATCAATTAATATTCTAAATCGTTCGATATATTAAATATGTAGAAAAAAATTAATCAAGATAATTATTTGATTAATTAAGATAATTCTCTGAAATTTTGCGCTAAATTATTTCGTGTAATCTCGCGTATTATAAAGAATTGCTGAAATGTAATCGTTTGTTGGAGCCTGTCCTGTTTGGTTTTTGCGACGTCAGTATATTGCTCCGTGTGTTTATAAAAGTAACCGACCATAAATAAAAGGTACGTTACACGTTTCGCGGATTATCGATGGCAAAAAGAGTCCGGAACGCATGGCGGAAAAACGTACGTTGCGCTCGCAAAAAAGAAACGTTGACGTGTCTAATAATCGCGATAATTGATTCCTTAATTGTTGTATGCAGCGACCGATTTTGCGGAAGATCGCCCACCTATCATCATGAGCGACCAAGAATTTAACCCGTGCGAGTGCATATGGTCCGAAATGGCCGTGGGACAACTGATTCGTATCGTAAGTAATACAAGAAAGAAAATAAATAAGAAATAAATTTAAAAAGGATGAGTTCGTCATATTGACAGATATTGCGATAAGATCGCTGTCGAATAATGAGTGGCGACGAAGAACGCGTCTTTTTATCCTTTTTTTTTTTCGCGTTTAGATCTCTAGGTCGAACAATAATCGAGGTTTCTTGGACGATCTGTAACGCAATGACCTCTTCTGTTTAGCTGGCAGAAATTCGTTGCGCCACACGGTTACGTAAAAATGTTTCAATTACGTAAATCGAATGCCGATGCATGATACATTACACGAATCAAACATGAGGACGTCGAATTACAAAGATTCAAATGCAAAAAAGAAGGCCGGTTCGCTTCTAGATAAGTTTGTTTTTAAGTATGCATTCCGTAACGAATAATTCTTGTTAAAAATATACATAAAGTATGAACGTGACTTTTATGAGACTTATATAAGTGTATCGATGTATACATATATGTATGTATTGTGTATATATGTACAGGCATACACCCACACAAAAGTTAAATCTAATCTTTATATTAATAATTATTAATATAATTAATAATTGTTATATATTTTTTTCACATATATTTATCACACTTACATTCATCAACGAATATCTGCAGCAAATGTAATTACTTACCTCGTATTATATTTTGTAAATATTTTTTTACAAATTAAGTTCGAAAAATTTGTTTCAAATTTTTTAATTCAAAATAGTATACAGTATATTTAAAACATTAGCGATCATATCATTCGACACAGCAACATTTCAGCTTTAGAATCTGATTTCTTAATTGCGGTACAATGATTTTTAACGAAGTTATGAGCAATTAAAATCAAAATGTTCGTTTACTTAACTCGTGAATAACTCGGGAACAAAAAATCGTAACCATTAAAAAGAAAAACGATTTTGTAGGGAAAACCTCAAGTTTTTACGATTGGTAGTTAAAAATTTTCGCAATTTTTTTTAGGCAAAGTGAAAAGAAAATTTTTTACCATTTTTAACTCACAGAAACTCAAAAAATATAGTAGCCTTTCAAAAGTAGAAATTTTAAGCTTTAAAATCCTTTTTTAAATTTAAATTTTGTTTATTTTTTGACAAAGATGTATATATTTTTGAACTAGAAAATTGAAACAAACTTTCCGAACAACCTAATATTTTATTGTTCCAGTTACGACAATCTCAAGATTATTGTTCGGAAACTGAGTGCTTCAGCGTGTGTAGGTATTCAATTTATTACTAACAACAATTTACTTCTAATTCATTGTTAATATTTAATATACATATATTGTTTGAATTGTTTCCTATCGATCAATTTTATCTGCATAGTGGATTAAGTTTAACTTCAGTTTAAAATCCGTGACTTCTTTGCAGGACTGAAAACAAATAAAAGTTTTATGTATTAGATAATACTGAATTACAATTAGTTCTTGAAACAAAAAGAAAGAAAATAAATGTTTCTTTTAATTCCAGGGCCGGAAATGAATGATGAATCTTCAGACTTCCTCACTACTTTCTTAATTATTGGTGTAATCGCTGTCCTGTATGCATTTAGACCGAGATCTTTGCGAAACTCGACCAAGAATATCATCAATAGCAGTAATAAGCCCGTGAGTACGCATCGATTGTGCATTACTGATGGAAACTTGAGGACGTATTTTGAACATACTTTACTTGTAGGGTTCACACGGAGACGATCCGCCTTCGCCGACAGTGAATTAAATGGTGCAACATCATCAAAGTTGTGTTGTTCAATATTTTATGTATCATGATCTGCGCTAAATTTATAACAGGAAGGAGACGGTATGGATTATAGATACGATATTAATAAATTGAATATACGCGTTGGCTAGATATATCAGTTTGATTTTTGGAGACGTAACTTCTTTACACGTTGATAGTCTCAATTTTATGCGATGTATAAATCTTTCTCTTTAAGCTCTTTCTCTAATAATCTTATGCCTAGATTATATATATACAGGGTGTTTGAGAAGTAATGAAAAATTTTATCGCATAGAGGGGGTAGAATGGATTAAACTGAGAAGTCCTCTACCATTTTACAATTTTTGCAATAGTTAACGAGATATTAATTTATAAAAATATCCAAATTCGCCCGGCCTACCGCCAAATGCAAGCGCGTAGCTCAATACAACCGCTCAGCGAGGCGCACCGCACTCGTTCGCCGTCGCTAGACACGCGTTGTTTATAACAAACGGCAATAATCGTCGTTAGACAGTGTTCATTTATAAACAACGCATGTCTAGCGACAGCGAATGAGCGCGGCGTGCCTCGTTGGGCGGTCGTATTCAGCCGCGCGCTTGCATTTGGCGGTGGGCCGGGCGAATTTGGATATTTTTATAAATTAATATCTCGTTAACTATTGCGAAAATTGTAAAATGGTAAAGAACTTTTCTTCTTAATTTAGTCCATTCTATCCCTATGCGACAAAATTTTTCATTACTTCTGAAACACTCTGTATAATGTAACATAATTTTATCTTTTCCTGGAAGATAGTGAAGTTTAATGGTTACATCTAACACGAGAGTTACTCTAGCGTTCTAACATGTTCGTTTCTTGAAACGCAGATAATAGCTAATTGTAATTAATAAAATAACAAAAACCTCGCTTACATGCGATGATAATAATAACAATAATAATGTATTATACACGAATATAATTAAAATTTTTTATTATAAAAAAAAAAGAATTAAGTACCTGCGAACAAACAGTCATTTGTTAATAAAATTTACTTGGTATTTATATTCGTAAAATTATATTAAAAAATTGAGAGATAGAATTACAAAACCTAATTTGGTGCATAAAGAATCTCCTATATATGAATATCGAATATATAATTATATACCTGCTGTAAATGATTCACTAATTAAATAATATAGATAATTGTGAATTTCAGATCTTATTAAGAAACAATATTTATACATTTTTTGTAATGCACGATTGTAAAAACTAAACGATTGAAAATGCAACTTTTTTCCGTGCAATAAAATTGAAGTATTTAAAAATTAAATTTCGTTATAATCTACACAAAGAAGAAAGAGCATGGTTTTATATAATATAATATAATATTATAGTTTTGTATAATATATTTATACACACGCGCGCGTGCGCACATGCATGCACATATAAACACACATATACACTCATTATTTAAAATGGAGATATTTTGTTACACATCGAACGTTTTACACAACTTAAAAATTGTAGATTTAAAGATATTGTATACAAATATAACGTTACATACAAATAACGTTAACAGTATTACACTATTTCTCCGTAATGGATATAGTCTATGATCAAATGTTAATAACAATGTTTGATGTTGTACATTCCCCATATTTACAATAATAAAACTTAATTCTCCGCATTGTATAAAATGATTTTTGATATTTATTATGTCATTATAAATAATGTCAACATAAGATTCTGTAAAAAAATAACATGGAATATACATGTTTATGTAAAGGTTTCGTATCATTCACACAATTTTGTTTATATATATTTTCATTACAAAATAATTTTATTTTAGATAAAAATGCTATAGTTACATATAATTATTTTTGTACAATATTGATATATTCCATATCCATCTTAGCTACTTACATGTCAATTATCATATTTTGAAAATTTTATTTTTAAATAAAATAGAAATATTGTACATTAGTACAAAATTATCATATTTATATATATATATATATATAAAATTGTAAATATTATTTGTAGAAATAATAATGAAAATATTATATCTTTTAATAGCGAAAACTAAGATTAAATATATAAAAAATTTTTACATTTTGAGCGATTAAAAATTAAGTATTAATTTGAATTGGATTCCAAATTCATGAATATTCTTACTATATTATGATCAAATATAATGCTTGATAATTTGAATTTTATATAGTTTTACAAATCACACAGTTGAATATTTCATATCACCTCAGCATATACAAAATATATTGCACAAAATAGAGCTTTTTTTACATTAAATTAATGTGTAGAAAATATCTGAAATATAAGAAGTTACAAAATTAAAATCACAATTACATTTAACAAAATAACTGATGAAAATCTTGTATTCATGTTTTGTACTTTTGGGAAATGACAGTATTTTATATGATATCTATTACATGTATAAGATTTACTTATGTATGTATTTACACATAAAATACCTTCTATATTATATATAGATATATATATATATATATAATTATACACACACACACACACACTATATATACAAATACAGTAAATTGAATGAGTTATGACTAAATGCATAAATCATGCATTCAAGAATTGTATGTAAGATTTATACAATCTTATAAATTCATACCAAATTTATAGATAACAAATTTTTTATTCATTATTTTTATTTATTCGTAACAAATTGTTAAACGTTTTTAAAACCGATCGATATTCTATCAACAGATATTCTACTTTCAATATGAGCTTGTATATGATATATTTCAATCTTTGTTAAAAAATTAGATATATTGTTTTCATAAATGATAGATCTCTGGCATTCTGATATCGAAATATATAACAGACTAGAATGATGTAAAATAAAAGAAAATGTATTAAATTGAAATTTCTGAAAAATTCTGATTCTGTTTATATTATTTTATTATTATACACATACATATCAAAGATCTCAGACTCGTTATATTATGTAGGCTGCAGAAATGCTAATCTAAAATTAAGAGAAAGTTGATATCTGCTATCTGATCTTAAGCAAGAGTTAAACAAATAAAGAAGGTATGGTCTCTCTGAGTCTTACCATAAGATTTTTCAAATTTAATTTAAATGTTTAGAATTTCGAAAGGAACATTGGAAAGGAAAGAAAAAATCAAAGAGTAACAATATTATATATATAATTTTTTAGAGTTTGAGAATAAATTCATTTTTTTATGTAAACATATATGTCTAGAGGAAAAAAGTTTTACGCCATCATAGAACATGTCCTACACATACACATATATATATATATATATATATATATATATATATATATATATATACCATATATATTTCAAGTATGTTATTCTAAAATTTTATGTTAAAAACTTGAAAAGATGAAAAAAAAAACAGTACATTCTGATAGATCCAAGTACCTTGTCTAAATTTCAGAGAAATATGATTGTAAGAAAGTTTCCTACATTACGTTGTAAAAAAAAAATTTAGAGAAGATTGAAGAGAAATAATAGACTAAAGAATCCTACTATATTCATCATATTAAATCATATTGAACTTTTAATCATGATTTAGCCTACAAACATGTTTGAGATCTTTCGAGTATAATGTCCATGAACACATTAATCTTATATTTAGAGATACTCAAAAATATATATTTACAATAGAATATCACTCAAAATAGCTCTCCTTTTCCATATTGAATTAGAAAAAAAGTAAGAAAAATAATTTTTGAAGTATATCTTGTTATTTTCTCTTAATAATCTCAATTATTATATATTTCATTAATTTTTAGTATTTACATAGTCTGTATTTATATCACCTATTAATTAATTTATTTATTCCTGTTGATGCAATTTTGCCATAGCGCTTCTAACTTTTTGCAAGACGCCCGACATTTGTTCATATTTGCCCGTTGTGTCAGGTAAATTTTCGAAATTGATAACGTCGCAAATATCTTTGGAAAACTTTTCTGACGATGGTAATTTACTATACGGAGAGGTACTTGGTAATACTGGTGTACCGAAATGTACCGATTTGACAGCAGCTTGATTTGTATCTGAAGATTTTTGCGAAGTAGAACGAATTGGAGTAGAATCGAATTGAGGTATTTTATCGGAAGCTGACGTGTTCAATGTAGTCGTAGTGTTTAAATCATTTTTAAGTGATGTGTCAAGACAGCACTGTATATCCGACTTTACAGAATCTTGAACTGAAGATCTTCTCGAAGTACAAGGTGTAGCCGTAATACTGGAAAATGGCGTTTCCGACACAAACATAGTATTCGAGTCGTTTTTAGTTGACATAGAATCAGAATTAGATTGCGAATTGACCTCTTCAATTTCCAAAAGTAATACTTTTTTCGTTCTTTCTAATTCAGACAAGGATGGCGAATTCCTGTTCGAAGTAGTGTCGTCCTGAAAAGAAAATGCAATTTTATAAGCAAACAATGCGATGTTATCCTTATTATGTATATTTATTATACGGTCCTAATATATAATTTGTAATTATAACCTGATGGACAAATTTGAACAATGGATTTATGTTCAACAGATAAAAATACATTAAAAATGATTATTGACACTCGTATTGTAAAATTATGAATAATATAATTACTTTACATAATTTTTTTACATTTTTTCGATTTTTATGAATTTTTTATAAATATTCCAATTTTTTTGTATTAAATATTAATGATTGCCGATTAAATGATTATCGTTGTTTATCATTTTGCAAATAGTTTCTTAGTAATTGAAATTTCATCAAAACTCAACGTATATAAATTAAGTAGTGTTCATTGCAAGATGTTAAAAATATAATAATTAAGAAAGAGAGATAGGGGAGAAATAGAGGGGGGAGGGAGGGGGGGAGAGAGAGAGAGAGAGTCCTTTTGAAGACATACTGCAGAATCCGACGATGGCAATTCTTGCGATTGTGAGTCTGAATCATCTGTTTGAGGTAATTCTGGTGGCGGTGGTGGTGGCGCTTCCAGTGATTCTTTCGGTAACGGTGGTATAAAATGTCCATTAACAGATATATTCTCCACAATATTTTCTACTACAATGAAATAAAAAGAAATAATTTTTTTTTATTATAAAAAATAAGAAAAAAAAACAAATTGAAGTTATTAATAATATATATACTTGATGTTAAAATAATTCTTATACATATTTACTTCTTACAGTAATTATCTTTTTTTATAAGTATTGTAGAATTACATTCAAGATAGTGATATTTGTTCAATTTAAACATGATTAATAATTATACCTTCGGTATCTTCTATTTCCATATCACTAATCGCTGCTACATTTTTGTTAACTGGCGGAGGTAATTTCAGTTTTTTACGTTTGTAACCATCGTCTGTTTCTTTGCCTTGCAAATGCAATAACATTACTTGTTTGCTATGTATAGATTGCATTTGCGGTACCCAATAGTTGTGGCTCTCCTAAAATTGGTAAATTTTAATGTTTACAATTTCAAATAAGAAAACGTCAGTTGTGAGATAAGATCATTTTCATGTATCAATACTGATTATTTTACTACAAATTACTTACGTCCGCAGTCCCAGGAGAAGGTGGTACATTAAAACCAGGAAAATCATATATTTTTTTAATATCATATTTATCTTTATCTCTATTTATGATAATTTCGCCTTCTTCTTTATGTGTATCACTTTCCGCTATTCCATCAGAATTGAACAGTGATAAACCAGAATGTTGTAAGCGCGCTTCTTCCAACCACCCTGGAGGGTAGCCAAGTAATCTCATTCTAAGAAAAAATGTTTTGACACGTAGAATGAACCTCATTGGCTCATTGGATTGAGAAATATAAATCTTTTCTTCTATTTTAATATTTAATTTCATATAAATGCACTTGCATTTGCAACAATTAGAGATTTCGAAACATTATATTGACTTAGAAATAGCAAACATGATATTAAAATTCTAAAAAATGTATTACTGATAATAGAAATATATATATTTATATTTATATCACACGTCGACTAAAGTAATATGAATGTTTTTCCAAAATCCAATAAATTACATAATTGTCATACCTATATATGTGCCTAGGTAATTGATTATCTTTCAGTCCAAGAGCCTTTCGTAGTTTGTGGCTTAATTGACCAGGAACCATATAACTAAATCTTTGGTCCTCACTCATGTGATATCGAACTCCCGTACCATGTTTTGAAGCAAACTCTTTACGTCTTCTATTGATATTGCTTTGATTTTTAGGCAATGGACAATCTCGTAAATTATGATTTCCACTACAATTGAAGCAATTTAATCTTGGCATGATATCTTTTGGTGTCTCATGAGATGATTCCTCAAATGTATTTTCATATTTCTAACAAAAAATAATGTTGTTTAGAATATAGAAACAACAAATATGAAATAGAGTAACATTTGCTATAAGCTAGAATACAAAATAATTGCAATCGTCCTTAATTAGAATAGAACATTACATAACAATTATACAAATATATATATACCTATATATGTACAATAAAAATAAAAAAATTAGCTAAGGAGAGGCTATGAACTGTGTCTCATCAATTTTTATGAATTTGCATGATACATATGTGTAATAATCGAACAATATGAAACACTTATACTTATTAAAATAAGAAAAAATAATTCTTGAGAAATAAATAAGTTATTTAATATATTTAAAATAATTTGTCAGTTTTTTTTTTAATGGAGTAATACTATCAGAAGGAATACTCAACAAATTACTCGCCAAGTTTCATAGAAATTGGTAAGAGATAGTTAATAGCTTCCCTTAGTAAAGTAGATATATAAAAAAAGCATGTTACCTGCCCATAAGTCGGAATATCCAAATCATTCTTTGCATTCGGTTGTTTATCAATTGTAAATAAAAAATCATGTGTATCATCGCATACATTATCGTTATCTACAAACTTTCCATCTTTGTAATCAATTCCATCATCCCAAATTTCTAAAGTCAGACTTGATTCATTTGAGTCTTTCTTACAACGGGGTTTTGAGTGCACTAAAGTGTACAAAAAGTCTTTTATTTGTCGCCGATATCGTCTGCAAATATATAAAATTCAATAAGAAATCAAATTCATAAAAAAAATTCAGTACAACAAATATAATAATCTTATTTGCATATCAATCTATGTTTAACGTTTAAAAATAGAAATATCAATAATTAATACGTATCTATTTTTACTCTCTCTCTCTCTCTCTCTCTCTCTCTCTCTCTTTCTTTCTCATTTGAATGTAAATAAAAAAGAAAAAACATAGGAGAGAAAGCTAATTAACTTAATCCTTTACATGATGTAACAATAAAAATAATATATTCTCAGAATATATAAAAATAGAAATTATAAATTTGACACGTCAGAAACTAGTTATATTTTGACTGTTGTGATAATTTTAATATTAATGTGCAAAATACATTATTATATTTATTATATACTTAATTTACACACGTTTATTATTTTATGTGCAAATTAAATAAATTATATTTGTTTTCTAATGCATGTCGTATCAATATTATTGTCGTAGCTCCAAGACACTGTCGTGTCTTCTGATAAATCGCACATTATCCTTTTTCCTAGAAACATATATAGGAAAACGCTTATAAAAAAAATCAGTAACGTTCCTATACGTCAACTATGTCGTTCTTGTAAAACCAGACGGAACAAATTCCCGCGTGCGCATTGTAAACAAAACGCTGGAAGCATATCATCCATAATGACAAGACGCACCTCGAGACATTCTCGTCACGAAACATAACCTTAAAGGCGGGCTGCGAGTTGATATCGCTCGACTGAGCGAATTGCGAATCTCTTCGCAAATGGACCATCGTTTCAATTATTTCGATGTCGTTCGGGGTCGAGGCGTGACTGATGCTCTTCACACTGTAGACCTGATTTTCATCATCAAAACAGGAGGTAACTTCTGTGTTGCAACTGGCATCGGCATCCAGCTCGATCACCTCCGTCTCCGAGTCTTCGATCATCGACGTGTTCAAACTCGTATCCGTACTCACATTAAGCACGCGGACATCGCTGTCCATCGTAGACGTGCGATGTAGAGAAACTTCGAAGTTTTCGCGCTCGATCCGTTCTCAGGACGAGACGCGAGACACGATTATCAACGCTACACGCACTGAACTGCACTACACTATGTGTAGAGTGCGTATCTGTATTGGACTGGTATTTGGACAGCAGCCGAGCACAGCCGAGCAGGACGGAACACGGAGCAGTAATTGATATTTAGCGTTGCAAATCTCCGTGCATGCGCGCAATGCGCGAGCAACGTGCAAACACAATTTTGTTTATTTCTATCAATGTTGATTAATTTTAACGGTTTTTCTTTACTTTTTATATATTTCATAGGTTCGTAAAAATAATTAAGTTAAACAACGAAAAATGGAATATAACAGGAAAAATCCAAAATAATGAATACAAAAATATCGATACATATATCAATACAAAACATGAAGAAAAATTATTGAAGTTTTTGGACTAATCTTAATATCCGCTATATCAATAACACACCATTAGATTCATTTCTCTATTATTAAAATAAAAAAAAGGTTCGAAAATATACATTTTTGAACTTAATATGCACTCGTGTATTAAAAAGTCGATTGCATATCTTGAAATAAAGTGAAAATTACAAAAGTGAACTATATAAATGTTGACCAATGAGTGTGTATATATATATGTGTGTGTGTGTATTTCAATAAAAAATTTATTTATTCTTGTAATTTTCTCTTATTTCGCTTTAAGATGTACAGAAGACTGTTACGAGGAGACATTCAAGTAGGGAGTCCGAACATAGTTCAAGAATTGATTTCAAATTTTTAAATACGATATGAATGCGATCGCTTTTTTGCTGCAATAATATAAAACGTTATGCAGTGTGAATTATGTAATTTTGTCTCAATCTATGATTATCGATTACTCGCGAAATCAGCGAAATGACAAATTAAGAAGTTTATTCCTTCGTGAAAATATTTGGCGCAATGCCGTTCTTGAAACCACAGAGAATCACGTGGTGCAAACGGCGAATAGAAGCTTGCAAACGAAACGGCTGGAGACACGCTATATATTTGCCCAAGGCGAAACATATCGCTAAAGCGCATTACAAAGGTCAATGGAAGAACGATAAGAGAGAGGGTAAAGGCATTGGAGTCACCAGGTATCACGAAGATTGACTGCGTTCGGTGAAAAGCAGCTTTGCAACTGTTGTAAAATTTTTTAATATGATATTAGTCTTGCCTTTAGTTCTCTTCTAAACGTATAAACAAATCATATCAATTTTACAACAGTTGCAACGCTGCCTGCTTTAAGCACTAAATTTTATTTATATAAAATGTATAATCTCTGTAAGATATATTTAACGTAAATTCTGAAATTACTATCAAATATACAGTGACTGCCAAAAATTTCAGGCTGTCATATAATTTTATGAAAAATTTTCATCTTTTTTTCCTTGTTATAATCAACTTCAGATTTACGATAATTCGAATATTATAACAATGAATATATCAAGTATCTATATATTAGATCTTTATCTGTACAGATTCTTTTTATCTCTGTGCAATACAATAAAATTATTATAATCGGAAATTTATAGTAACCGCTATATGTTACACATTGTTATATGTATATTATATATATCTTAAGCTTGCTCGCGAGATCATGTACATACAACCAAGCTGCCGATATTACGTTCGCTATTTTGTTAGGAATCGTTCCTTCGCAGCCACGGCTGGATTTACGAAGGCGACTGGTATAACGACCAGAGACACGGTTACGGCGTTCTCAGTAAAATTACAGAAGACGGCGATGTGCGCAAGGTATACGCCGGCAACTGGGTAAAGGGAAAGAAGCATGGGTTCGGAAGTAATTGGTATAAAGACGGCAGCTACTACGAAGGCACATTTCGAGAGAACAAGCGGAATGGTTACGGCCGAGTTTGGTACAAGTGCGGCAGCGGATATTACCAGGGCATGTGGCTGAACGATCGTTACCATGGAGAAGGGATACTCGTTCAAGGTTGCAATTAATTAAGAAACAAAACATGTAGATGTATGTACATGTGGAATCTATGAACTGCTTCGCAGAATGAATTCAAATGAATCCGCTTAAAGTCTTTATCAATTTCTTTTTAATTACGTATTACATATAGAACAAAAAGTGATACATTTTTCTTAGCTTGTGTTTGATTTTACTCTTTGCGTTTGCGAAAAATTGTGAACTATAAATTACATTATTCCTCATTTACGGCGTTTCACAGTTATCTTCAGAAAATCCCAATAAATAATTATCTTAAATAATTTTACAGAAAACGGTAATCTTTACGAGGGTCAATTTACAAATGGCAAGAAGGAAGGTCGGGGTATCTTCTACCATTTAAAGAGACGTCAAGTACAGGAAGGTCGTTGGGAGAATGACGTCTGCGTGAATAGTATGATAGAAGACATCGACTGCTGACAGCCAGCTTTATATCCAATATTATACATTCCAAGGATAAACAATCGAGCAACGGTATACTTATAAGTGCATTGCGTCTCGTTTACGTCTCTTCTCAGATTAATTGAATATAATGCTTCACGTTTTATTAGTTTTTTTTGCGTTCGCAGCAAACGGAAAATATAATGCGTGTATGTAGTTTTATACGTACGATTTTTTATTTTGATAAAGAGAATTAATAAAAGGAATTCATTTTTAATTTTTATTTAGCAATCAGTACGTTTTACACGCCAAAATAATATATACAAATAATAACCGGACATATACATGATGTCCCATCCAACGTGTATCTTTTATCTTTGCAGGATATGCACAAATCCCCCTCCAAATCATACAACTTTTATCTGAACATATTTTTGATTCAACTTGAATCTAAAGATCCGAGTTCAATTCTACCTGTACATGTGTTTTTCGTGTCTGGAGATCACCATTCAATCAGTTACTGAATAAGCAATATTTTGCCTCATCTAATGCAGATAACCTGTTTAAGCCATAATCACACTACAAGTTGCCAGTTACGATTACCAGTTCTCTTTCTGCCAATCACGTTGCAGGATATAACAAAAATGAATAACAGCTTCAAAAAGGCTTAAGCCCAAGACACAATGCGAGAGAATAGCGATAGCGATAAGTTTCAACTTATCAGAAATCGAATACACTGGAATACACATTTTTGATAGGTTGAAACTTATCGCTATCGCTATTTCCTCACATTGTGTTTTGGGCTTTAAGCTTCATTTCAAAGCAATTTGTGGTGTACTTTAAGCTGATTCGAGACGAAATTTGTGATATACTAAATGTAGGCGTCGAGTGGCTCACCGCTCGGTGCGATTGACTTGCGATCTGTAGACCCGAGTTCAATCCTACACGCGATTTTTCGCGTGTAAGGAGTCGAAAAATTACTCCACCTGATGGTAAGAGATCTATAATCATCAGCGCCGTTCGGATCCGGCGTTAAACTGTAGGTTCTCTACGAAAGTATATTGAAGAAGAGAAATCACTTCGGTTTATTTAATATCCCAGGGTATCACTATGGCCAGGAAATCATGGCCAAATTGATCACCAATGTCCGGGGGATCGAATAAGGCACATGAAGAAGAACTAAGGGTACTTTCCAGCAAGGACACAGTCAGACACAGTGAATCATTACATCCTTGTTGTTTTATTAAACAAGGATGAAATGATTCCCTGTGTAACACTTGTGTCCTTCCTGGAAAGCACTCTAAATGTGTTCTCTGCGCCCCGAGGAGGATAAACACTATTCTTAACGAATGGTACTGTGGCCTATGGTCCCATATAGTGAACCGAAAATGTATCGCCGGATACTGTTGACTTCGTACTTGTGTGCAACGAAACTCCGATAGAAATGTAACGTAAATGCAAGGACTATTATTAGCACTGGTATCAACACTATACAGGCTGACCAGGCAGCGACCTGTGAAAAGTCGTAGAACTTCACCCAGGGGAATTCAAAAAATCCTGCAAAGACTGATCACATTAAGTGAAACACTTTGCATATATCCGTACAGCACAGAAGCTTTCAGCAATATTGCTGGAACGTTTACAATGTTATTGCAATATTGCTTGAACGTTACAATGTTGTTACATGTTGCTGGAATAATCCGTGCTATATGAATGTTTTCATTTATCGTCAAAATAAAATATCTCGAGTGGTATCATGTATCTGAATATCACGTACCGAGTCGTTGCTTCTTGATATTTCGTTCCTTATTTTTACGGCAGTTACAATACTTGAATAGTAGTGTACTTGAGAGTAATGTACTTGGCGTGCTAAAAAATGATAAGCGAAATTGCTATCTATTTAAGAAAAATATCAACTTTTTTTTGTGTATCGGCGATGGCCAATTCATATAGCAGAACATATTAGATATAATGTCTATCTAATATAAAGTCACAACACTTAATAAATATAAAATCTATCGCGATTTTTTTTTCTCGTATAAGCACATTTTTCGAAAGATAAGTACATTCGGGTACATAGACAGTCATGTCACCTGTCGATAATTCAGGCTATTATATATCGCTTTTTGCGCTGTATACGATGATAACATGCGAAAGGATCTGGTAATAGCCTTAAAGTATACTATTCTTCCTACGCTTTAAGTCGCAATGCGAATGAAGGAATGTATTTTGTGCCTACATATACAACGATGTTATCGAACTTCGTATTCCTCATGAAGTCGACACGATGCTTTTATAACGCGTGCATCGTGCAGATGAGCGGAGTCTCATCACGCTTATACTAATTTACATCACAGAGAAACACGCGTATAAAAAAAGAAGAGGAAGATCCTTATTTGTTGACCGAATCTTCGCAACATCTGTAGCGCGTATGTGCCGATGTGTGTGAAGAAAACGATTGTCATGTTCTTCAAGTAGTTCACGTCGAAAGACATTCCTGGCAAAATTCTTCGAGAAACATCGCAAGCGCTTGTCGCAGCACGTTGTCTCGGAAAAGATCTCTGCCTCTTTGTCTCTATCTCTCTTTCTTGCGGTGTTCCGCGGAGCGGAAATTCTTTTGTCGCGTTCGATTCGCGTATCCAATTTTGGCGGCATGAACAATCGCAGAGACCGATTCATACGATATGCGTTACTCCGGTCTGCAAAAGATTCACGCCATTTCTGCCCTCCACATCCGTGGACTCGATCTGTTCCTTGAGTAACTCGAGTTCTCGTATACCGGATACCGTGACTTCGTACTTGTGTGCAACTAGACTCCGATAGAAATGTATCGCAAACGCAAGGAAGATTATTAGCACTGGTATTAACACTATACAGGCTGACCAGGCAGCGACCTGCGAAAAGTCATAAAATTTCACCCAGCAAAGTATCGCGATCTCCAGCAGAAACAGAAGGAGGCCTAGCAGCGTGGAAAAGGCCCACGCGACCTCGATGTACCAATGCAGACGCTCGTGCGGCGATTCATGTACAAGGCTTATGCTATGCAGATTGCAAACAGCTTCGATATTCGGCAGTATACAAGTGGATATCATCAGCGCCAACATGTGCACAGCTACGAGCAAGGTCGTGCACACGGCGAAGGCGATCAGCATCTCCGGTGGAACATGTGTTTCGGGATTCAGCTGCACCTCTACCATGGCGACCTGTGGACAATAACTGTTGAATCTTGGAAATTACCTCAGCGCATTTGTCATCGGAACATCACTAAGAAACGCGAACTATCGTTAACTCTACGTGACTCTTGCGTGGTTTTTTTTTTTTAAACATCATTACTCGTGTAAGATATTTCTGACCCAAACGTTATATACGTCGATTTTCATTATTCTCTTTGATGACTTACAATTAAATAAAGATTGATAATATTCTATACTTCTTCAGAGAAATAAATGCAAAAATTGTTTTTAAATTGTGCAACAATTTGCGCCAAATATAATAATGTATATAAAAGCATATATTTAACGACTTGACAATACAACTTGATAAGCGATTTGATGTTCTGAAAAAACTACGCGAGTAATAAAAAATTAATAAATGTCAAATAAATGTCAAAAACGCAATCTGATTCCACCAGCTCGCCACGAGATTAGAAAAAAGCACAACAAAATTTATTAAAAAATAAATAAAACTGAGTTGCTTTCGAAGATACTTAAATATTTAACATTTCATATTTAAAATAAGTATTACAATTTTATACGCGCAGGTGGATATTTTTTATTTGCACGATATCTGCTGTTAGAGAAACATTCGCGTTGATGAGTTCAAACCGAAAACAATACAAATCGCTTCCGGAATTATGTTTTTCAGTTCACAGAGGTTTTTTTTTCATTCCCGTGTAATGGTTACAAAACCAAACGATACAATCTATTACGGTTAGCTCGATTAATTAATCGCGGAGGATGCGAACGCGCGTCGATTTGTGAACATAGTAGATTGTGATAAAAACTTATCGCGCCGCTGTATCCGACGAAGGACAGTATTCGCTTCCGCGAATAACATTTTCTTACCATAGCGAAACCGGAGAGAAGGGCTGATGTTTTACTGGACGCCTTGAGTTTCGCGCGACTCAGTTGTAGTTTTCTCCAGGACAAATAGCCCGGTGTATGAAGGCCATCCCCCGCTTGTGACATTGTCGACTGTGACGAACAAAGAAACGCAGAGATAACAAATTAGTTTACATTTCGGATGGAAGGGCGCAATCGTAGGAAGAGATACGTGATCGCGTTCTTATTGTCTCACAGAGGGACGGGAAGAAAGGATGCCATAAAGCGCCTGCGACACTTGATCTCACAATCTTACGGGGAATAAACTCTTCGTGGAAGCTTAAGCGCGAGTAAGAAAGAGAGGCACGTACCAGAGATCGATGGCAACGTCGGTGCCAATGGGAGAACTTGCCAAAAGTCCCGCAGTAGTAGGACAAAAAACCAATGGATGCTGAACGAAACAAATAATAAGGAAAATTAATGAAAATTAATGAAAATGTAAAAACGAAAACGCGGTGGCTGATATATGTTACGGCGAGATCGACTGCGTCTTGCGGGAGGTCTGGTGGGCGTGAGGACGAAGAACACGTGCACACACACATTTACTCGTTTATATATATACACACAAATTATACATGGAGACATTGCGTGCGAGGGAGCACTTGCGCTGATGCATGCATTAACGAGAGACTTTAACATCGTGACTCGTTGTTTCACATATTCTTCGGGAAGATGTTGCTCAATTTAATTTACGATCGCCGATCTTCGCGCGATTGAGATTTCCGGTTGGGCGGAATGTTAGCGGGATGTTAAATAGAGAGGATAATGAAAAAGTATGATATAACCTGGATGAAAACTGCACGAAAAAAGTATACACAGAAAATAATCCGTGTGAACGATAGACATCGTAAAATATTGCGGCGTAAAGTATTACTTTACAAGCGCATCTTGTCACAAAATGTACAGAATGAATGCTTTCGAAATTTTCTCGATTCTTTTAGCGTTTCGTATAATCTTCACTTTCATGATCGGATTTAAATATTAATAAATATGACATCAGGAAATACCAAATTTAGGATATACGATTAAATATTATTTTTTCTACCTACGTCATGATATGTCATCGTGTCTTGATACGTCTTGAAAAATAATAACTGACAAGCGAAAAAGAAATCCGTTGTCACACGATACTATCTTTTGTTTGTTTAAAGCTAAGAAAGAGATATATGTATTCAATGTCAATCTGTATATTTCAACAACTCGATGTACACAAGCAAACACACTTCCAACATTTGCACTTACTTGCGAGTTGACAACACATATATATATATACAAAATCCAAAACCTAAAAAAGGCTTTTTTTTCAAAAACTATTTTTGAGATGTTTTATGTACTGATTTGGATTTTGTAAAATTGTGGTTGTGTAAAATTTGGTTGTGTAAAATTGCTTCGACTTATACACAACATATCACAGATTATTCACATTTCTTCCGTTTTTTTTTTCATAAAGAATAAACAGGCGATTATAAACACGTGATCAGCATACGGCAAAGCACACATTACGTATATCAATAAGTAAAAAAAAAAGAGGATGCATACATAATGAGAATGTCGCATATCTTGCATCATTATTTGCAGATACGTATGTTTATCTAATTTTGTACCGTTAATCGCAATAAGCTCATATAATAACCAAACATGCACTTCCTGAAGAAGTAAACGTACATAAATTTTCTTGTAACAACAAAGATTAATTAACCAGCATTATTTAAAAGCTACATTTTACACCTTAATGTACAAACATATCAGTAATATCGGAAATATTATTTTGTTCATTCGATGAAACATTTTACTATAAATTGCGAATATAAAGGTAACTATTCGCGCAGCGTGCAAAGAAAAAAAAAAAAAGAGAAATACAATATTACGGCGATATCGTTACGAACGACATCCGGATAATTATCAGTACGTAACACACATGCAGAATGAAGAATTGAAGAATATGTGATAATTGCGCGTTCAAAGTCAAATATAACAACAGTGTTCGAAAAAATAGCATATAATCTGTAAGTAAAAAGGATTTAAAAAAAACACGCATTTGTCATCTATGAATAAGATTAATCACAGTAAAGCTGACGGTATCGCATCGACGCTCAATCGACCAATCGCATGATTAAATTTGAAATACATTTTGTTTTAAATGTTAAAACAAATTGGATATTGAAATAATTCACTAGTTATTGTGTACCGATATCAACAATATTTCTGTTTTTATAAAATCACAATGCTACAATTTAATTATACCGGTATTGAACGACGAACACGAAAAATTTTTGACATCTGTAACTATAAATACATGTTACTATAATTATGATTATTACTACTGTAATAATAATAATAGCTATGTATATATTATATGTAGTAGTCCAAAAGAATATTTAACTAAGTAATTGTGATTATTTTATGATAATAATTACAGTAATTATAGTCTACACTATAATAATTATAGTCATTTTCAGTCAACAATATGTATTTGTTAATAGAACTATGTACATATTGTAGTTAAAAATTTCTGCTTTAAAGCGGAGTTAAAAATATTATTACGAATACGAAGAAAACAGATCTATTATTACGGACTCAATAGAAACAGTTCTACGTGCCAGAATCATGAGAAATCTAATGTATATTGATCCTGCTACGATCTTGCTACCGAACGTTTCAATTTTTCGTAATACATCGGAAATTACAATTTTTTAATGCAAAAAATGTATATTAGATACTTATATAAATTAAAAAATTGAGCTTATCTCGTTTTTTCTCTCTTTCCATTTTTGTAATACGCAATAAAAGTTTACAAGATTTAATATGTTATTTTACGTAGTAATGAAGAATAAAAAATAATTGAACATTTTTATGTAAGCAGAAATAAATCTATTGGTTAAAAATAACAAACATAATAATACTACCAAATCTTAATAATTTCTAGTAATACGCAAATATTGTGAAACGTGTTACGTTTAAAAGTAAAATTCTCCTAAATTAGAAACATTTGTTGTTTATTACACATAGTAAATTGGAAGAATTAATAAACATTTAAAACTTAATAATTATTTCATTCATCTCTCTTATTATCGACTTCTTTAACCCACTCTGTATAATAAACAATAAACAATATTAATTTGAGAAAATTTTACTTTTACACATATAAAATAGTGTTTCTCAATATTCCCTAATGATAGAGATAAATACAAATTGAAATGGTAAATAGATAATTGTAAATAATTAATTTGAAAAAGTTATAAATACTCCATATAAAATCACAGAAATAGAAAATGTTTTATTTAAATGTTGCAAACATAAAATAAACGTTCACTATTTATATCATAAATATATCTCACACATATATCATTATTTTGTATATGTATTTGAAACTTAAAATTTCAATACGTGTGCTAACAGATTATTCTCAGAGAATACGAGAGAAATAAAGTCTTTAACATTCCAATCACGTTATCGTGTAAACTTCCCAGCAATAATAAAAAAATCAATTAACTCGAATCAATTGGCGAGTACCGGGAGCGAGAATAATAATGATACAATGGAAAGCAAAATGAGATATAGGTAGTCAAAGTGGTAACAGCACAGAATAAACGGAGGAGGGAAAAAGACGCATATACTAAACGCGACAGGCACGTACTCGTGGAGTGGATGAAGAAGAAAGGATCTCTGCCGTGGAGAAGGATCAGCTAAGGCAAGTCTACCGACCTGACAGTGATCGTGGAACGGTTTGTGAAAGCAGTGGCCGTCAGCGTTGCGCAGGTGTTCGTGCACCACGTGTACGTGGGTCGGCAAGTGCGATGAGGGGGGCAGTACCGCTCCGCTGCTCTCCGCGCCAAACAATGAATTTCGTCCGGTGCTGGTCGACCATACGGACATCAGGCTCGATCCTTGCGCTGCTCTGTCCGGAGCTGTAATGAAACCAGACTGGATAAGAAGATTTCCCGATCACGCGATCGCACATAACGGAGGTGCGACCCTTTAAAAAATGGAGTACCAAGAATAAATAAAAATAAAAGCAGAATATAAAAAAATGTACATTTATTCAAATTACAAGATCAAAGATATGCGAATCGAGATGTGACATTTTTATTTGAGATATCTATTTTTTTCCTGACTGGATATAATAGATATAATTGTTTTGTTTCTCAAGTATAGTGGCTAATAAAAAAGTAGCGTTTAAAGTTTATTAAGCTCTAAGAGGAGACAAGAGATTTGTATGGTTTAATTGACAAAAGTGAATTTATCAGGCAAAGGAAGGAATAAGTATAATTCTCTGTTTAAATATTATTTACTACTAAATTCAAAATGTAAAAAATTAATTTGTTATATAAAATTTGTTAAAAATATTTTGTTTTACAGATTTGGAATCTAAAAAAAATATTTAGAAAATTATTACAAAACGGTAGCAACATAAATAAAAGCAATTTTTACGTAAAATTGAAGTTTTACATTTATACGGTTGTTACCATTATGTAATAACATTTTTTAATGATCTATTTTAAGTTCCATGTAAAGAGCAAAGTGTTGTGAAGAAAATGACTAGATAACTAACAGATTAGTTCCTCAAAATTTACGCCATCGTGGTAAAGTACAAAGCATCAACATTTTTAGTCCTTTGTCTTCAGTAATATAAAAAACTTCATATATATTTTTAATAAATTTTGAATTACATACTAATTTTCTACATCTTATATACATCTACTAGATAATAAACAACACCTAAACGTAGATTTGTATCTATTTATTTTTTTTAAACAAATTTTCAAATTTCACCTTTAATTTGATTTCCTTTCTTAAATTTTGGAAGTTACGCTTTATTATAGAAGTTTTGTATTTTTTAATAAATATTTTCTTATGTATAAAAATACAATATACAGAGAGAAGCCCAAAAATTACGAATGAAAATGCCATAACCAAAAAGGTTCTTGAAAAAATAAGTTAAAAAGGTATTCCCCATTTTTTGTTTTACACAATAGTTTTTGAGGTATAAAAGTTCAAAATTGACCAATTACAGATTACGAATAAATGGTTGTCTGTCCGTGAGTCGCACATCGATAGCGTTAACAGTAAGGACTTCCCATTTAGTTACAAACATCATTCTATCTTCTTCAGAGAGTAACAAAGATAGGATACACTTATGTTGACTTGTGTCGGTTTATGCCACCAAATGGAAACCACTTATTGGTGACTCACAAACAAACAGCTGTTTAACCGTAATCTGTAATTAGCGAATTTTAAATTTTTATATCGTGAAAACTACATGGAACAAAAAATGACAAATATTTAAACTTATTTTTTCGAAAACCTTGTGGTATTTTGATTCGCGAAAATCGAAACACCCTATACATATATTATACATATGTATAAATATATAATTTTTGGAATTTATGTATCTATTTTATTTCATCATTTTAATTTTATATGGCAGAAATAACGCTACCTCGTAGAGGAACTCAAGAATGTCTCTCTCTTTTTATTTAAAATCATTAATCTTGATTATTTTCATTTTTATTTCTCTAAAGTCTAAGCGGCCATTCTTAACGACAGACGACGGTAAACAGGCGCTGAAGGAAATAAAATATAAAAATATCGTTCATATAACTCAATGCTGTTAACATGTGGATTCCGGTATCCTCCGCTTTCGATTTCGTGACATCAATTTGACACGAAGTTACAATAAAATCAAAATGCATGAGATGCCGAAGTGTTCTACACTTTATAGTGCGCCAAGGAATGCAATTAGAATTAGATATGTCTATATATGTGTATATGTCCTTGATTCACTCGCTATTTCGCGATCGTTAATTTCGTCCGCTATGCCAGGCCTCGAGTTCGGCACTGAATCTCAGCTGATTTATCTTTTTAGATAAAGGTTTTCTTACGATCGTACATTCACGTGTCTAGGAGACCTTAAAGAAAAATATATAATGGTAAGAATTATAAAGGTAATAACCATACAAATTTTATACCTAGAGCAAATATATACTTTCTAAATTTTTTGGAGTAGAATGTCACTTTAACGAACGAAAATTAACCAATTTAAAAAATTTAAAGAGTGGTTCAATTATCGATATTTAACAGTGAGATTTCAGTCTTCAGAGTAATTCACTCTAAAAATTTTAGAGAGTACTTAAATAAATTATTTTATAGTTATATAGCAACTATAAAATAATTTATTCAACTATGGACATTAATTCTACATATCAAACTTTTATGATAGTGTCAGCTTTATAATTGCTAATATATTTTTCTTTAAATGAGCTTGAACAAAGACTCAATTAATATGTATGCTGTCACACAAGAATTTGATATAATTATTTTTTAATTTATCTGTGGAGATATGATAAAAGAAGAAGAACGCAGTGGAGATTTATCAATGGTGGAGTATCACAAAGTAAAATAATAGAATGCGAAACGCGACATACCACTTAATTTGCTTTAACGAACGTGTCAATTGAACAAATCACGCGACTCGTACGCGTTGTTGGCCTATCATACCGATTACAGCAATGCCGGAGCGATCGAAAATCCGCGACGTAATACGTTAGAGGCCGGTGAACGTCTCGATGAATTAATGCGCTTGTCTCCATGTACACGTTCTTGTAACACGCGCGCAAGGTCGAAAAATGTGATGCACGTTCGCCGGAAAGCGGTCTGGGTCAAACCAGTGCAGCGAGCTGAAAAGGATCGCCGATCTGAAAGTGTGATTAGTTGGAGCAGAAATAATCAGAGCGTACCGAGAGATGCGGCCTCTTGGCAAAATAATACAAAGTCTCTCCTAACTTACGAATTCTAATCATATTAAAAAGAAGAAACATGAACGAAATGTTTTACATTTTACGTGTATTCTCTTCTTTTTCTCCATCATATCCTTTTTATATTTTATTTCTAGCTTGTGGTATTTATTTCGATTTTTAAAAAAAGAACAATAATTAATCTTCCTCTTCATTCTAAAAACAAAAGATAAAGTATACTAATATATTGAATTGATAAATTATACTGATGTGAATAAAGTAGAAACTGCAATTTCCTTTTTTGTTCTTCAATATTGATTGTTCGTCGAAAGTTTCGCAATAACTGATAATTAATGAAAATTTATATCAATAAATGGTACGAAGAAATACGGAATTATATTAATTAATTTTATCATAAAGTTATGCTTTTTCTCATAATTTCGTATACTTATGTTTCTCATTTTTTTATTTTTTAACAATAAGATATAAGCACGTGCACAATTATTTTGTTTACGGAATAACAATACAGGGAGAGATAGCAAAAAATACAAAATAGATCTGATGTGATCGCGGCCGTTATATTCTTTTATAGGTATCCGATTGTTTTCCATGGTAGTTATAGCCAGGCAATATTATAGTTTATAAACACGTTTTTCATCGCCCAGGGGGATTACAATTTTAAACGCTGATTCATTTAAAATGGTTTGTACATTTGCATCTCTCGCACCGACAATGATAATCACCCTTAGTATTCATAATCATTCTACTCTGTCGCCGTTGTACACAACGATGTAATCGATACCTTAATATATTCATTCAATGAAGAATTAAATTACATAAGCAACAAGTATAAAAATTATGTAATATTTGCAACAAAAACATTCGTATATACTGAAAAAAAGATACTTAAAAATTTATTTGTGAAAAATAATTCACTGTAATATATATATATATATATGTATAAATCACCTATTTTAAAAATACTAATTAATATAAGGCTCTGTAAGTATAAAACAATAGAACCTTATTACTAATTATTATTTTTATTATATCAAAACTTACACTAATTATATAAATTATATTTGTGTTATTATAATTTACATTTATATCTATAAATTAGATTTTTTATTATTTTTACAGAGATACTTGGAAAATATTTGAGGAATTTGCTTTAGATTTTCTTTCAAATATTCTATTATTTTATTCAAAACATAATAAAGACGGTTACATTACATACGTTTCGATGCCGATCGGATCATCTTCAATGTTGCATGCAATAGTAACATACAAATGTATGTAATATAACCGTTTTTATTATGTTTTGAATTAAACCTTTTTATCACATAACTGGCTCTGAGCCCTTCGACTTTATTTTTATTTTATACTGATAGAGCCTTATTATTACTTATTACTATTATTTTCTATTTTATAATATTTCCTTCCGAAGTCAGTAATGATTTTACAATACTATACTAAAAACAAAATGTGACTAAATCAACAAGAATGACTTGGTGAGATGTCCAGAACTTCTATTTAGTCCCACCAAAATGCCATTCTTATTGGACTTATTTTTTGATTTAGGTAATCAGAACATTTTTCTCATATAGTGTTAATAAATATATGCTCTCTAAATCCTTTGGAGTAGAGTCTTATTCTACAGACTGAAAATTGAACCAGTCTTAAAAAAAAATGGCTCAACCTTTTTTTAAGAATGAGATTTCATTCTTCAGACCGATATTCGCTCTAAAAATATTAAAAAGTGAGTAATTAAAACACAAAGTAAAAACGCCAGCGACATATGTGATAACCCTAACAATCCGTATTCTTTTTCTCTTCTTCCTGTACTATTCTTCCTCCTTTTTTGGCATCGCAGATACGCAGACATCGGCACTTTGACCCACGATCGTTGATTACGCCACTGGTATCATCCTAACATACAACAAATCGCGATATATGTAACTCTGCCGTCTAGACGGCGGCGAATTGGCCGCGGAGGACAAACATAGAAGCGGCGGCTACGGTCGGGATTTGCGGCCAGTGCGAATCTACCGGGCCGATCGAAAATCTCTTCATCTCCTCGCGAAAACTATAAAGATATTATCGCGTTGTCACCATCGTTGTGGCGAATACCGGCGTCGTTATAACCGTCGTGCCAATATCACTAAAAATACAGA